ACAACAAGGCCGTAAAGTTCTACGCTAGAATACAATGCATCTTAGAGCTCGCTGACCTTGACAACCTGACTACATAATTGCTTTGTTGAAAAAGAACTGCCATGAATGGGTTACTGATAACTAGCGTCACGTTCCATTAACTACATTTTACTGGCATGACAGTAAAATTGCTTTTGTTAACTACAATACAAAACTCTATCAATGTAAAAAGTAACAGTGAAAACAAATTTTGAGCTGTGTCCGCGATTTTGGGATTATCCTCCAATTCTTACTGATGTTTACTCTTATAACTCTGTGGGCTGCTTAGTCTCATATCTAAGATAGCATTTGAATGCTAACCAAGACAATTCATTTGATTAGCTGTATAATATAATAATATAATCATCTGAATCATACAGTGAGCTAAGTTTAAAAAAATGGAGAACTCTGAGGTAAGAATTAATGACAGTTTTTCTAAAGTTTTCATTAATTTCACCACTTTCAGGGTAGCAACCTTTTGCAGTAGCTGTTATGGTACACTCATAGAAGAGTAAATTTGTAACATAAGCAAAGTAAATTGACATTCATTGTAAGCAAGGCCAGGACAACAAGTGTAAACATACTTTCTCATAGTTGCAGCAGTACCTGATCCTTGAGGCACTTTTTACTGGGGTCTGTTGGTTTGGACCTCTCGCCTTGTTTCCACTGTAAAAAGTATTTGAAAATAAATTGAGAGAAAAAGAAAATAATCAGTTTGATTAATCATCTCTGCTTAAATTGAAAACAGATTAATTTAACTTAATTTTATAACCCTAAGCTTGGCTTACTGTGTAATTAAGGTTTGCTGACATTATATCACATATCCACCACGCCGCTTACTCATTAAAAACTTTCGCTTATAAACAAGTTTACAACAAAAACTCAGCACTTATTTATAAAATGTAAACATGACTACAGCCCAGCAAACAAGAATGTACAAACAGCCTAAAATTACACATTAAAATTAAGTCAAATAAATTGATTTTTCTTGCAGATAAAGCAAGTTGAAGGTAGCAAAAACTCACCAGTTCATTCATATCTAGTAGTACCACATTATAACACGGGAAGACTTCATGTGCAGGGAAAACAATAAATTCAAAATGGCAACACTCGTACCTGTTAGAAAACAGGGACAGAAATCATTATTCTGTATACTTGTATAAACAAAAGAGAAAAAATAAAAATAGAAACAACCCTTGATGTGCGTACACATGGAAAAAATACTAAACCGAAGGAGATTTTCCAAATCAAACATTTCTTTACAATTTCTTTAAAAGTTAAAAATAATTTACAAAGGTTGAGGTGCTACGACTACACTCTTTCTTTTTTACCAGAATATATTTTATAAAATATCGCTACTGAAATCTGAGACTGAGATTTTCAACAGGATTTGTTAGTTTGTGTTCAAAATTGGTTAACCCTTTCTCTAAACAAAAAAAACTAGCAAGCAAACTTCAAAAAACTGCACCGTTAACAAAGTCAAATGCTCAATGCTAATAACAGTTCGATAAAAGGTACAGTGATACCCCAATACATCATGAACCAGAAATGATATAAGCTTCGATTTAAAAAAAATACAAGAATATTTTGACCCTAGTTATTCAGATAAAATGAGGGATAAGAATCTGTTGAAAGTCAACGACCACAAAAGAACGATGGCTTTGCTTTGCTTGAAGTCCAAAAAACATCTTAATGGGATATGGCCTCTTATAAAAACCTAGCTGTTGCTAAGGGGAATTGTGATAGTATATATTATAAAAGACCTTTCTAAAAAAGAAATTCATACCAGCCAAACTATAAAACTCGAAGATACAACAGTTCAACCAAAGGCAGACGTCTGTGGTCAGTCAGGATTCGGGATTCCAAATCTCCACCTAATAATGTTAGCTCCAATTATGCACATCTTCACTTTGACCTGGAAAGACTGAATAAAAGTCAAAGCCTACAAAGCCCAGTGTTGTGGCCGATCTAAAACAACAACACTAGAGACAATGAAGGAAAAAGGTTAGAAATCTCAGAATAAAATGTACTCAACCATCACCTGTAGAAATAAAAAGAAACTAGAAAGTTAGAAATTATACGTTTTTGCTTTCAAAAGAATCTCAATGAGAGGGGTATCTTATGGTTATTATATCTCCAGAATGAGTTTCCCATTTGAAAAGTACCAAAATTGGAGTGGTATCCCTACGTTTCTCTGTTAACTGATTAATTGTGTAAATTTGGTAATTTGAGTGTCAGCGGTTTACGCAAAATACGTCTCAACGCCTATACACCCCGTCAAATTTCCACAAAAAATCAGTTCCCAAACAAACCAGGATTCCCGTTGTCCACGTTAATAATTTTGGATTGATATCCCTACGTTTCTCTGTTAACTGATTTATTGTGTAAATTCGGTTTGAGTGTCAGCGGTTTACGCAAAATGCGTTTCAACACCTATACACCCCTTCGAATTTCCACAAAAAAATCAATTCCCAAAGAAACCAGGATTCCCATTGTCCGCTCTGATAATTTTAGATCGGAGTAAAGTGGACCTCCTTCTCTTTAAAAAAAGAAAGCGGAAAAAATAGAATCATGGTCAATAGAGTTTGCTTGGCAATCCAAAAGCGTCCTACCATCACCTGTAGAGATAGGAAGAAATTAAGAAGTTAGCATAAGGTTCCAATTTGAAAAGCACCCGAATTAGCATGGTATCCCTACGTTTCTCTGTTAACTAATTTATTGTGTAAATTTGGTAATTTGAGTGTCAGCGGTTTACGCAAAATACGTCTCAACGCCTATACACCCCGTCAAATTTCCACAAAAAATCAGTTCCCAAACAAACCAGGATTCCCGTTGTCCACGTTAATAATTTTGGATTGGTATCCCTACGTTTCTCTGTTAACTGATTTATTGTGTAAATTCGGTTTGAGTGTCAGCGGTTTACGCAAAATGCGTTTCAACACCTATACACCCCTTCGAATTTCCACAAAAAAATCAATTCCCAAAGAAACCAGGATTCCCATTGTCCGCTCTGATAATTTTAGATCGGAGTAAAGTGGACCTCCTTCTCTTTAAAAACAGAAAGCGGAAAAAATAGAATCATGGTCAATAGAGTTTGCTTGGCAATCCCAAAGTGTCCTACCATCACCTGTAGAGATAGGAAGAAACTAAGAAGTTAGCATAAGGTTACAATTTGAAAAGCACCCGAATTAACATGGTATCCCTACGTTTCTCTGTTAACTGATTAATTGTGTAAATTCGGTTGTTTGAGTGTCAGCGGTTTACGCAAAATACGTCTCAACGCCTATACACCCTGTCGAATTTCCACAAAAAATCAGTTCCCAAACAAACCAGGATTCCCGTTGTCCACGTTAATAATTTTGGATTGGTATCCCTACGTTTCTCTGTTAACTGATTTATTGTGTAAATTCGGTTTGAGTGTCAGCGGTTTACGCAAAATGCGTTTCAACACCTATACACCCCTTCGAATTTCCACAAAAAAATCAATTCGCAAAGAAACCAGGATTCCCATTGTCCGCTCTGATAATTTTAGATCGGAGTAAAGTGGACCTCCTTCTCTTTAAAAAAAGAAAGCGGAAAAAATAGAATCATGGTCAATAGAGTTTGCTTGGCAATCCCAAAGCGTCCTACCATCACCTGTAGAGATGGGAAGAAATTAAGAAGTTAGCATAAGGTTCCAATTTGAAAAGCACCCGAATTAGCATGGTATCCCTACGTTTCTCTGTTAACTGATTTATTGTGTAAATTCGGTTGTTTGAGTGTCAGCGGTTTACGCAAAATACGTCTCAACGCCTATACACCCTGTCGAATTTCCACAAAAAATCAGTTCCCAAACAAACCAGGATTCCCGTTGTCCACGTTAATAATTTTGGATTGGTATCCCTACGTTTCTCTGTTAACTGATTTATTGTGTAAATTCGGTTTGAGTGTCAGCGGTTTACGCAAAATGCGTTTCAACACCTATACACCCCTTCGAATTTCCACAAAAAAATCAATTCGCAAAGAAACCAGGATTCCCATTGTCCCCTCTGATAATTTTAGATCGGAGTAAAGTGGACCTCCTTCTCTTTAAAAACAGAAAGCGGAAAAAATAGAATCATGGTCAATAGAGTTTGCTTGGCAATCCAAAAGCGTCCTACCATCACCTGTAGAGATAGGAAGAAATTAAGAAGTTAGCATAAGGTTCCAATTTGAAAAGCACCCGAATTAGCATGGTATCCCTACGTTTCTCTGTTAACTAATTTATTGTGTAAATTTGACTGTTTGAGTGTCAGCGGTTTACGCAAAATACGTCTCAACGCCTATACACCCTGTCGAATTTCCACAAAAAATCAGTTCCCAAACAAACCAGGATTCCCGTTGTCCACGTTAATAATTTTGGATTGGTATCCCTACGTTTCTCTGTTAACTGATTTATTGTGTAAATTCGGTTTGAGTGTCAGCGGTTTACGCAAAATGCGTTTCAACACCTATACACCCCTTCGAATTTCCACAAAAAAATCAATTCACAAAGAAACCAGGATTCCCATTGTCCCCTCTGATAATTTTAGATCAGAGTAATGTGGACCTCCTTCTCTTTAAAAAAGAAAGCGGAAAAAATAGAATCATGGTCAATAGAGTTTACTTGGCAATCCCAAAGCGTGCTACCATCACCTGTAGAGAGAGGAAGAAACAAAGATGTTAGCATAAGGTTCCAATTTGAAAAGCATCTGAATTAGCGTGGTAGCCCTACATTTTTCTGTTCCCTGATTTATTGTGTAATATTGGTTTGAGTGTCAGTAATTTATGCAAAATACGTCTCAACGCCTATACACTCAGTCAAATTTCCACAAAAAAAATCAGTTCCTAAACAAACCAGGATTCCCATTGTCTGCATTGATAATTTTAGATTGGGGTAACCTTGATCTTCTCTTTAATAGAAAGAGATTAAAGCTAAAAAGGCCAGAAATCTAGGAATCTGAAGACTTGCAAACTCAAAGCACTCACTTGGTGATGCCGAGAGTGAAATTCCTGCTAAGAACTCCCAGGAACAGAAGCTTTGATATCAATTCCCACAGTTTAGCAGCCACAGGAACTCTGAAATAATAACGAAAAGTTGATTGTATTGGTGTTGGTGTTTTTTTTTTAAAACAGATACTAATTGGGGTTTAAAGGATTTTTTGTAGTAGTCAATAATTTTTCACTCCAGAGATAATTGTCTGTTGCATCATTTCCTACACAGTACTAACAATGTACATGGCAGATAATACTGAGATCAGTATTAGGTATGTAAGTTTACTTAATTACACATTCTACCCTTTATCCGATCTGCTACACAAATTACCCACGACTTGCTCCAGGTACGGTTCACAGCATAATCAGTAGAGCAACAGCATATCCAACTCGGAGATCGTTCGTGGGTGCGAATCATGCCGAGGTCAAAACACTTTCTCTTTGCCTCGTGTGGTCCCCAAATTCCCTTTACTTGGCGTAACGCTTATTGGGGCTTCCGGGTTGAACCTACCAGAAGTTGGAAAGTTATTAGTTCCTTCCATCCCTGTCAAGCTTTCTCATATGGACATCTTGGTTGAAATCTGATACAACTTTCAACTGGACATGTACCATTTTCCTTTCCCAGCATTTTACTCCTACAAAAAAAGACAGCATAACATGAACGTTATCCTGAGAAATAATGGTTACAAAAATCAGTAGTACTGTTTACTGAATCAGTAGCCAATGAGAACTCTGAAGGGAAACACCATATGAGATTTGCATTTGTCTTTTTTATAACAAGGTTGCTTTGCTTGCAGAATTTTAAAACTCTTTTATCCCCATACGGCCTCCCTTTGTTAAGTGTAATGTGTAGTTGCAGAAAATATCCATAATCTCCCACGAAGGGCAACGGAAATTCCGAGGGGAAGGGAGGGTGTCAAAAAGGAGGCAATTTCTGAGAGAGTTGGGGTCCGAGAGAGTCGGGGGTTGCTTACAGAGGTCTTTTTCCAGGGAGTTTGAGATTGGTGAGTTAATAATAAATAGCAGCTTCTCTGTTGAGAAAGCTATCAGTTATTTTACTGTTACCAGTGTTTCAAAACAAGTGTTATTGTTAGCATTGATCATGTTTTACCTACAGTCAGCTAAATGCTTTTTGCAATAGTTTCCTTTCATACAATAATATTGTCATCCACTCATGAATAAACCTTCGGATGTTGTTTAGCCTGCAAGCAAGTTATCCTACTAAGGCAAGCGAAGTGAGCTTCGCAAGAGAAAACACGCAAGCGAGGGGTGGCGCGATCTCGCGAGGCTCGCTTTGTCTGCCCAGATAGGAGAGCATGCTCGTAAGCTAGGTGTTGCTTTATTACACAATTGATTCACCGTAATTTGGTTGTGTTCTAAGCCTTTTTGCAACATGTTCTAACCACAATGAAGTAATGAAACTTCACCTGGTGTTTAGTTTGAATGTAACTGGTTCTTTTGTAAATGACATTTTTCGTGTAGTTCGTAGTATAAGGTATCACCAGTATGGTATATCATTAGGTAAGGACGTCCTTGAGATTATTAGCCACCTTATTAACATGAATGATATGATCTTTTTGCATTTTCTCGCAGAAAAAAAATTAATTATCTTTTGCATAATGTGTAGTTCCAGAAAATATCCATACCCCCCCACGGAGGGTTGTTTACAGTTTGAGCCCCCACCCCCCCGGATTTTCCGTTCCAGAGGGCTTCAGGTTGCTCCCCCCTACCCCCTGGAATTTCCATGATTTTTTCACTTGGTCGCCTCTACCCCTAGGAAATTCCAAATCCACAAATAAAAAGACTTCATTGATTTATTTTGGTCTACTTAGTGCGAAATAAAATTTAGCCGCAACCGATTATAGTTACAATTCAGATGAAGGCGTAAAGCGGCATAATTTTCACGTAAGCGATTTGGCCATACCACACTTGCTATTTCATGGAACATTATTTATGGAGATATTCGCTAGGTAAGGTACAAAATTGCTGGAGGAGGCTATGAGATTTAATTTTCTTAAAAATGACCGTGGAAAATCTAGAGCATTATGAATAGACGCCTCTCGCTTCCTCTATTTTGAAATGTTCAAACTCTAACAACTGAGCTTATTAACACTATAGTTCTGGCAGCTGACCTTTCGTCTGCTTCATTGACAGAAGATTTCATTCAAAAAATATCTAAGAAAGTACTGAAAGTTGACGGTATCATCAACGTTTTGTAACCTAGTCGAAGTTTGTAATTTATGCATACACGAAACAACGTATCGAATTACTTTAAACACGAAATGACTATAATATTACATCATTCTTGTTTTTGCTGTCAAAGCAAAACTCAGGAATTGACTCGCTGCTAATCTCCATGATATTTTTTGTACTTTGCAGGTGTAATTTTATCTACATGTAGTATAATGTGCGAACAGTACTGCTAACAAATGTTGTTTTCCTGTGTGGAGCCGTGAAGTGACTTCGCTTATCAGCGGGAATCATAATCCGTCACGCAACATGTTTTTTAAAAACTTAAGTTCGTCTTTCAACAGGAATACTTCAATAAAGTTATACGCTTTATCTCTGTAGTTTGTAAATGATAGTAAAATTCACGCCTTACAGTTTTTTTTTTTAACTTTTTTTAATTTCATGTGTAAAACGTACTTTTCAAGTTCATTCCCCCCTCCGTGGGGGGGGGGGGGTATGGATATTTTCTGGAACCACACAATAAAACATAGTGCAACAAATACAACCTTTTTGGCTCAAATATACTTCCCAGAGGGCACTCAACCAAATTCCAGGGGGTGGGGGACTATAACAAGCAGCCCCTACGTAGTGTAAATTCCAGGCAGGGTGGGGGGTCTAAAGTAAAAGTTCCCTCCGTGGGGGTATGGATATTTTTTCTGAAACTGCACAATAGTACATGTGTTCAGTATTTTACTGACTGCTTTAGTGTATGTGGTGTCTTGGGTGATGGCTTCTTGCAAGGTTCCTACAGATATACATGCATATGTGGTAGTTATTTTTTTATCTCAGGTAATTTTTATTTTTCAGTTTCATTAGCAACATTACCATACCCAAAAAGAAAAGAAAAACAAAATGTACCTGAGAAATATAAAAAATTAACCACAACATACACATAAACTGGTTTACATGTATTTCACTGTTTATTAAAGAGTGAATGGTTTTAAAACATTTGCATCATGCATCAGGGTTGTCATTAAGAGCCGGGGGTCGGGGATTTTCCCCGGCTACTAAGAGAGTGGCCCCCGGCTACTTTTATTGGAAAATAGAAGAAAAATAGAACCAAAAGAAATCCCTAGCCGTTTGATTCCCCGCCTACTTGTTGGGGGGGGGGTTGCATTGTTACCTACCTGTTCAGATAATTAAGGCAAGCTTTGGGTTCAGGTTTTCATGCCCCCAGGTGGCCTCTGAGAATTAGAATGAGTGCTTCATGTTCAATTTGCCATGCACAGACATTTTTCTGGAAAATTAAATGTGTTTTACTACCAGACGATAACTTCTACTTACACTGAAGTAGTAAGTTACAATGACTTACAGTACTATAATAATATAATACGTTTTAAGGCAACTCAGCTTTCTGTATTGCATTTGTTCTGTTTATCAAGAGAATTACTGTAGCTGACTGATTTGTCGCTAAAAATGATACTGTTAATTGTTTGAAAGTTGCTTATCCAGGGAAGGAAAAAAAACAAAATCCACTTGTCCAGTGGACAAGAAAATTTCAATTTTTACTTAACCCCCTCTTAATAATATTACTTGCACAAAGGTAACACAGTGCTTTTTCATCTGTACAGAATAATGTGGTTCTAACTATGTTGTTGTCTATAATAAGTCATACCTGTAAGTATTTTGAGCAAAATTAAAGGATTAATAATTTAATGAGGATAATTGCACAGTGGAACCACAGGTAATCCAGGCTCACTATTTGTGTCACATACGGGTTTCATATAGCATGAGTAAATATAGAGAACATACAGGGCAAAGTTTAGGTCTAGAGATTTGTTAGAAAATGAAAATAAAAATCAACGAAACGACGAGTTGTTGTTGTCCTTTATATGCACATGAAGTTTCGGGAAAAATAGTCTCCTTCATCTTTCCTACAGAGTATAGTGACAAGGTAGGAGGCTGACAACAGCGTTGGGACACCGATCAACCCCAAACAAGCACGATTTATTTCGTGAAAATCGAATCCAGTTGACAACTGGTCCAATTCAAAAATGGCACTGAGCTCAAGGTGCGTGGTGACAAGTATAATAAGTCCCAGTGGAGGGAAGGGTGCAGTCGGACGGTGAGTGGTACTCCCTTCCCTCCATGAGGACTCATTATACTCGTCACCAAGTATCCCAAGCTCAGTTGGACCAGTCGTGATCCTAACGGCTTCCGGCTGTCATTTTAATAGGTAAACATATAAGTTCTACAGAAACTACTGGCTTTGCGTTGCTAGCTGGAGTCAGGGTTTACAGAAATTCATGTTCCCCGAGCCTGGCATGTTTAATTAGCAACTGGATTCAATTTTTGCGAAAAAAATCATGCTGGTTTGGGGTCGATCAGAGCCCCAGCGCTGCCGTCAGCCTCCTACCTTGTCACTATACTATGTAGGAAAGATGGAGACTATTTTTTCCGAAACTTTGTGTGCATATAAAGGACAACAACAACTCGCCAGAAGGTAAGTTTCATCGATTTTTATTTCCATTTCCTAACAAATTTCCCGACCTAAACTTCGCCCCATAAGCTCTCTCATGAAGCTCAAAGATATTTTCTCTAAAAATAAACCTGCTTAAATGTGAGCACAATTAGGTCCATTTCAAACGTCGCGCTACTGCTGTGCCGAACTCAATTGTATGAATTTAATTCGACTTAAGCACGGCAGTAGCGTGACGTTTGAAACCAAGTCGTGCTACTGCCGTGTAGCACAGCAAGCCTTGCCGTGCTACACGGCAGTAGCTTGACTTGGTTTTACACGTCATGCTACCGCCGTGCCGAACTCAGTTCATAAATTATAAATACATTACAATACATTTAAAAGTTTGCTAAACCGTTTCTTTATTTTTGTGTTGTGTTTTCAGCAACAGCCGGTCTATTCAATTGAATTAACTTCGACATCTGAAACCAAGTCATGCTAGTGTTGTGCTGCAGTCGAGCTACAGTCGACCCAGCTTAGCACGGCAGTAGCACGACGTTTGAAACAGGCCTTACTGGCACCACATACACTGTACATGTTTTACTAAGGAATAGTGAAAAAAGCTCGATGGATGGTTTTTACCAATTCACCTCACATAATGTGTGCGGCACATGTGAAAAATGAGCAAAGACAGACAACAATCGTGTAAAAAATAAGAAGATAAAAACAATGCTTGAAGACTTATTTCACTGCAATGATTACAAGCTGAAAACCTTTTAATTTTATAGCACGTTTACCCCATAAGCGCAAAACTTAATTATTTTAATCATTAAATATGATGTCGTATCGTTTGGCTTTTGTCTTTGTTAGTCAAATGCCAGTTTAGACCTCTTACTTTAACCTTACCTGCTCACATGGCCCAGGTAGTTGTCGCTCTGCAGCTAAACTGGACACAGAATTAACGTGAAGTACTGAAAAACAAATAACAAATAACTTATGTTGAAAAACTGTCTCGTTTCTCAAACCCCCCATGAAACATTTCAAGTTTTAATCCGTTTTGCGTTCAATTAAGTACCTTTTTTAACTGTGCGTTTCTCTTTTAAAGGGTAGACTTGAATCCGTACAAAAACCTCTGTAAAAAATACGAAACCTTTTCCATCCACCGACTTATTTGCTTGTTCTTGGTTTGTACCACGTGTGCGGCGTTTTCCCAGGATCTTCGTTTGGACCACGTGACCCGAGACGCTCTGGCCGCGCGGAATAATAATGAGGTCTAGGAACTAGTTGAGGAACAAGGCAACTTTGGCAACTTACAATCTTGGACAAAACAAAATGGAACAGCAAACCCCCATCCCCCCCCAAATCAAGGATGAAGGCGCGCGAAGGGCAAAAACGCGCCATTTTTCCCATCCTTGATTTGGGGGCGGAGGGGGGGTCTAGGTTTTCCATTTATTTTGTCCAAGATTGCAATCTTGGACAAAATAAAATGGAACAGCAAACCCCCATCCCCCCCAAATCAAGGATGAAGGCGCGCGAAGGGCAAAAACGCACCATTTTCCCATCCTTGATTTGGGGGGGAGGGGGGGTCTAGGTTTTTCATTTATTTTGTCCAAGATTGTAGTTCTCGGTTCTCAGTCTGGCCGAGAGTTAGCCGAGACCCAGCCAAGAGTTTCACAACAAGGAAAAGGTATGTCCCAAAAGGTGAAAACAGGAGGGAGGGGTAGAATACCTTTGTTAGGCTGTCACATATGCCGTTTTTTTGGTATGTGAGTTTGTCTTCTGAGAACTGGGACCAGGCTCCTCAGTCTGGGAAAAAGGTAAAAAAAAGGGGTCAAATAGCAAACAGGAAAAATATCGGAGAGAAAGCATTTTCCCACAATCCTTAGCCTGGTCGAAGGCTAATTGCGTTCGTTTTCAGTTGTTATTAAAATGCAGAAAACTAAGCTATAAAGATTTCAATTTTGGTTGGACCATATTGGACAGTTCCCAAGAGGCCTATACCTTTCCTTCCCGGTCATTTTTTGATGGTCAAAATAAGCCTAGAAATGTCTTTGGATGGGGGAAGGGGCAAACTCATCCCTTGGGACTCTACCCTGGGGACGAAGTTGGGGGAAGTGGTTAACTTTTTCTTTTTAGTCCAAATTAGCAATTTCTTCTTTCTTTCTTTTTCGTTAAATGGTCAAAATGAAGCTAGAAATCAATGTCTGGCGATTTGCTTTGATGCGAACAACTTACAAAACCAAGTTATGGAAAGACTGATTTCATCTTAGATTTTTCCCTAGGATTAACCTGAGCATTTAAATTTGGAATTTTTTTCAATGTTTGTTGATAAACAAAATGAACCTAGAAATGATGTTTGGTCATACGTTAGGAGTCCAAAAGTTATAAAGATTTCGATTATTTTTGTGTGGACGTATATCTATTTCGCAGGGGTAGTACCATAAAACTGTTATGAGAAGATCAAAAGAAATGATCTGCAATTGTAAAATGGCTGGCAAGAGCACTTTTTGACAAAAAAATGAATCTGAAAGAAAACAAAATTAATAGTTACAGGCTGTAAGATGAAAGAAAAGATTAAATAACAGCATGCATTCTAGGACAAAAAATAGTAGCTTACACGATAGCAATTCATAAGCATTCACTGGAAAATGCTCTTTATTTATTAACAAATATTATTTTTACATGCATCATGTACAAAATACAAAAGTATCTCAATATACCTTTATCAACAGCAACTTACAGTTACTTTTTAATTCTAATAGTTCTACCTGGTGTTTGGAGCCATCTTATCGTGCAGTCCCTGAAACTCATTCTCGGTACAAAAGGTACACTCTTTGTTCCTAACATTAAAGGGAAAGGAAGCAAGGTGGAGAAGAGCAAGAGACACTTTTGAATATCTCTTCCAAGTTTTCCATTTCTGATGCCACCTTTTAAGATAAACATATTTAATAATGTGTCCTTGAATTTTCAAGCCCCCCTCTTCCCCCCTCCCCCCCACTTTCTAGTATCCTTAGGTGTTTTATAGCTCAACAAACATCTTTTAACTTTATTTAATTTGCTACCCTAATGCTGTACAAAAAAAAAAATACAAAGTCTATCTAGTATACTATCTACGAGTCCGAGGATCACGACTACTGTTTATAACATTACGCGCTGGAAGTTCAGTATTATGAGTTCCATTACTGTTATGTGATGATGCTAAGACAAATCCAGCATTATTCCCATTGTTATTTCCAATACCATTGCTGCCGCGCATTTTTAACCTTGGATCACGTGAAGCATCAACCTTGGATGTTACATTTGCTTGAGAGTTTGTTCCATCTGGTCTACTGTAAGGGTGAAATCTATGAGACATGGAATTGGTCACATGATGGTTATTTGAGTTGCTCATTGCTGGTAAATGGTCCAGGGTGTGATTTTGATTCCTCTGCATTAACGATGCTGTTGTTGACGGTGTTGTAGATGAATTTGGCGAGTTTCTTATTTCATTTTGTTGAAGATTCTGCAAAAGAAATTCAGGTAGCACAAAATGTAAACAATTAAGAACTAGTTTAATTTCTTCAGAGCTATTTAATATATAAAGGGGTTCAGCCCGGTAGACAAGTTTTTTCACGGGTAGGTGTGATCAAGGAGGAGACGGACCAAATGAGACCGAAGGGACAAGCTTCTAAGGGGGGGGAGCTTTAGCTGTCTGAGACTGAGTTGCGCACTTCAAATACGTCGGCATGAGTAAACTAGGGGGGTCCGGGGGCATGCTCCCCTGTAAAAGTTTTAAATTTAAGCCCTTAGAAATGGCTGGAAATTTTTTTGCTAGCAGTGAAAAAAAAGCCATTTATGCGTGTGCATGCATGCAATGACATGTACTGTCCAATTACAGGCATGACGCATTATTACTGTCCTATTACACTGTCCTATAAGTACTGAAATCAGGAAAGTTGATAGACAATCAGATTTAAGAATTTTGTCATGGTTATGATTATTACTGTAATTATTACCTGTTTATATTGTTGAAGAAATTCTGCATTGGGATCACTCATATTTGGCAATTCGCAAAACACCATACAAAAGCTAGAAATGAGTTTCAAAAAAATTTTAAAACAACTAAATCATTTAAACAACAATAAATAAATAATTAAATTTGGGTAAAAACAATTAGAGAAGGTGTGGTCAATATGACCTTTTACAAAATAATAATAAACCTCTCTATCAAGTTTATTGTTAATTATTCATTTTTTCTGTTTACTGCATTAACATATCAATAACTATGACACTTACTCTCCAACTTTTTCCATATGTCCCACTCGTCCAGTGTAAAGAGTCAGGCTTCCTTTCCATAACTGAGAGTACCTGAAAGAGTATAAAAAAAAATTGTTACATGTGATCTGTAACATTGAACAGTGGATGTTTTACACACATGCAACAGTTATCGTGGAAAGAACTTTTCAGTCTAAAGAAAATAGAGATAATCAAAATTATGTTTAGCAGGGAAAAGTTTGGCATAACAGTGACATTCAAAGGCCACTACAACAAAAACTGCTTTTGAATTAAAAATCATTGTTGGATACAGTTGAAAACTCTAAAGACAAAGACGGCCTTTATTGTCTGGCCATGGCGACTCTGGCCTTGTTGAATGCTAGTCATATTATAAAAAAGTAGTTTATAAAAAAACTATTGACCACGATTGGAAGGAGACATCCAAAAAATCTGGATCAGACCAGAATGGGTCTGAGAAACAGTATTCCCAGATAGATAGCGGTCATCATCGGGGTAAATAATGGCCAAATGGTAGCTTAATACAGGCTATGAAATACTTGTACAGGTAAAGATACGAAAAAGGATGCTGCGGTAAGTGAACTCATTTCTTCCCTTATTTGGTGACTACAATAATGTAGAGGCACTTAGGTTCTCATCAACTGCTTCAGGCTTATAAATTAAAGGAAGAGAGAAGAAGCCTGAGATGAGATCAATGAAAACCCCCCTTTCCCCTCCCCCAGAACCAGAAGAAATTTTGGCAAACTCTCCTGATACAAACCACTGTCATGTAAATATCAAAACCTTGAATTTGCAGTTCATGCATACAAAAGGGACTGCAAATTCGGTGCAAAGAGCACCACAATCTACCAAGAAACGGACCATAAAGCCTAACTTCTAGCAACCCTCCCCTCCCCTAAAAGAATTCCAACCACTACAAATTTACTTCTCAGAACGTTTTTGATTGAGATGTGTCTTGGATTTTTAGTGAACGGTTTGGAGTGCATACAAGCTTTTCAGCTCGAATTTCTCCACCGGGATTGTCTCGGTTCTCTTTCCAAGTGATGGCCCGGGCAGCGCGAACACCTCCCCCCGGAATTCTACTTAAAAAAATGCGACAAGGAAATTTGAAACCTCAAGGAATTTCAAGACATTCCGCGATCAAAAACGTAGCCTCAAAAAAGACGAGGAAAGTATCCGTCCTTACCCTCGAACAAACTTAATGATATCTCCTGGTTGAAGGATTTCTCCGACTTCATCCCAAACAGACACCGTAATAGAACCGGTTTTGTCGGCCACTCGACATGCCCGAACAACATGGTCATCTTTAGTTTTGGTGCCTTTGCCTAAAAGAAACAGCCGGATAATTGACCGTGAATTTGTCATCCGAAAAAACAGGGAGCGAGTGAAAGGATAGGGGAAGCTTACCAACTTCCAAAACTATGAATAAACAGTTTAAGTTTTTTATGCCGGGCCGAATATCTTTGATATCCGTGAAATGCCTTGTGTCATCCGCCATTACATTCTCTTTACTGCGAACTATTTCTCAGGAACGAATCATCTCGCAGTTTATATGGAGAGCGGATCAATGACGTCATTTGCACGTGTTACAAATATTGGCCGGGACTTCATTATTAAGAATATCGGATCGAAAATTATCTCGGAAGAACAGAATGGATAATGACCAGTACACTGAAAACAAAATATCACTTACCAGCAATTAAAATATAGAACAAACCCGGAGTAGTGATCTGAGCATTAATTCTTTGCAGATTCCTTTGTAAAGAATTTTGAAAAAAGTTCTGGATTTCCGGTTGTAATACGGCTCGAACAATGGTAATTGAAATGATGTCGTATTTACATACATACAACTTTGCTTATGAAGACTGTTAAGCTTGCCGACAAGTTAGCTACTTAACAGCTACGTTGTTTTAACTGTGAAGTTGCTCATGCGGGTAGCGTCAAAAGTTACGGATCTTCATTGTCAGTCTCGTAAAAGTCCCTTCCAATCCTTTCCAAAAAAGCTTTCATCTCCCACTTTCGGTCCAGAGAAATAATTTATTCATTAAAGATCCAGTCCAGAGACAGATTAAAGATATTTATTATTTCAACCTAGCTACAGAGGAGTTGTTAGTTATCCGCTCAACACCTGGCTTGCAGATACAGAGGGTTAAAACTGACAAGGGATGATTACAAATAAATTAAAGGGAGGGATGCTGCTAGGTAGGGAGCAATGAGAGCGAAGGAGTCAGGTTTTGTCGTTCCACTAAATCTGCACATCACCTTGTATAGTCAGTCTTCCCTCGCCTCAAAATTATCGCCTCATTACTCATTTAAGAATGCGACTTAGTCTACTTTAGTTTTCAGTGATGTCTAAAAGATATAGTTTACAAAAACTTTCTTACAAAAAAACAACTGGCATATATATTTGGTTTAGTATAAACGGAAAGATTAACGGTTTTTTTTAACCTATTAATCGGTATAAAGAAGTGAAAGTGTCTGTTATTTTTTCCGCAGATGATTGACTTGTTTTCGTGGCCTGTTCATATCTTTTTTTATATCTTGTATGCATTTACAAAAATGGGCAAAATGTATTTATAACAGATTATAAACTAAGTTTTTTTTTCGAAAACATGAGGTCATTCTATGGGAATTGCTTCCGCTGCGTGAAACCGCTGGGCACGTTTCCACTGCGCTGTAGTCATGTCACGTGACACCGTGACAACTTGATCATGAAATGTGTCAAGCTGCTCTACAAGCTCGTCGCGTGCCTGTACAAAAAGACAAACAAATAGCGCATAAGAGTAATGCAATGATATGTTATTCCTTTAAGTTCCTGTAATGCTATAGTCTTGCCCACGGGTGGATAACCCTTCAGGAAGTCTAATAATACTACTGACTGTAGTCCACATAGTGGCTTTTAGTCTTAGTGGTTGTCAGTTGTAAAGCTGGAAGAATTGTCTCCATTAGAATTCTAGAATCAGACGGCGGTTCAAAAGGAGAAAATGAAGAGTATTTGACGTAACAGGACGTACCTTGGCTAATTCTGAGTCAGGTTGTACATCTTTTAACAATACTAACAGCTGATCCATCGCCGTATAAGGAAGCCACACACTTGGACTAGTAGCGTGCAAGGCATTCTGGGAATAAAGTAATATGACGTCAGTGATTTCGTCTCAATGTGACATTTTTCGAGTGATACTGAGACCTAAAGCAGTTTGCGTGATAATGAACAAACCTGACACTGTAGAAAACAGACAGAAAACGCAGTACAAAGAAAGGTAAAATGGTACCATGTTTGAATAGGCGATTTGTACGATGACGTCTTCTGACTTCTACTACAAGAATCCATCAGAGTTTCACTTTCTTGTGCAAATTAGGTCTTGTTAACCTCACTGGGATTACCCAATTTAAATGTGAAAGGAAAAACGAAATGGATTCTGGTTGCAGTAGTGGTAAAATGATGGTGTAAATGGCCTAGAGATATTTTTAGCATGCATGTTCTGCTTTCCCAATTCAGAACATGATGTTCTCAACAGAATACGCCTTTTGTCTTTTCATAAATTATGCATACATATCCAGGTGGAAACACGAACATAGGACGATAATTGAAAGAAACAGACCTCTGGGGTTACATCACGTGGTCTGAAATGGGAAAACAAAACATATAAGCTAACAAAGGTCAATTATGGGTCACTTTTTAAACAAAAACTGGTAACCGGCCAGAAATGATCGATACCAAGCCGGAAATTGTCGGTAACTAAGCCGAAACCTCTCAAAGCGTTCGGAAATCGTGTTTAAGATTTTAGAACTGGTTTTCCTCTGATACAAGATTAAATAAGGGACAAAATTCATTGTTGTTAAAGTGTTTACCTTGAGACCGAAGTATTCTTTGCCATTGCCAAGAACAGCTTGAATGTATTCTACAGCGAGTGTGACTGCTTCAATCAGCAGATCGTAATTAATGTACAAGCGGAGTAATTCAGGAGCATTGACTCGCTGTCAAAAAAGGTACATGGATATGGAGTTATTTTTACTGTAATGAACCTTGTTGTTAAAAAAGGCACAAACTCAAGAAGCTATCCATTAGTTAAAAAAAGGCTGGTTTTCACTAGCGTCGGAGTCGGAGTCGTAATCAGAAGCGTAGAGCTTATGATATAGTGAAAACAGCGTTCCGATTTCGCTTACGACTCTGTCGCTTACGTTCCGCTTATGATCTAGTGAAAAACAGATTGTCGGAGTCGGAAGCAGAAGCAGAAGAACCAAACCAATCACAAAGCGTAGGAACGTGCATTGTGACTGGTTTATCCTTCCGCTTCTGCTTCCGACTCCGACAATCTGGTTTTCACTAGATCATAAGCGGAACGTAAGCGACGGAGTCGTAAGCGGAGTCGGAAGAAATGGAAACGTTCTGATTCTTTTGACTCCGATTACGTCGCGCTTATGACTCCGCTTACGACTCCGATTTTTGATTTTCACTCGGTCATAAGCGCTCTTACGACTCCGCTTACGACTCCGACTCCGACTCCGTCGCTACTGAAAACCAGCCTTTAATTGAAACCCCATCCAAATCAAACTAATAAAGCAGTACTTTCCTATGGCACTGTTCAGTCAAATGTTCTACCTTTTAGACTTTTGGATGAACTCGTATGGTGACCATTCAAATGAAAGCTACTGAGCGGTACTTTCCTGTGGTACTGTTTATTATGCTGTACAAGGTGGTTCTAACTTTTGAGTCGTGTGAATGAAATCCTATGGAGTGAGCATTCATGGGTTAATGTAGAACTGCTTATCATTTTGTACAAAGTGGTTCTAGTTTTCGATTCATGTAGACTTCATTTCAGTGTCATTTTCCGATGGACAACATGTTCACACTGATCTCACCTTGTAATCATTCACAAGCCACGTGGGCAGTGTGGCCCCAGCTGACAGCAGTTTAGTCGCAACACATCTGTAATACACGTAACCATCACGTGATCCAAGCCTGTCAAGGTAGAGTTTCAATAGCTGCCAGGCCTGATCTGCAACACTGTAACAACAACAAAAACAAGAATAGTTTATTAGGGCGACAATATTTTAAATCATTCAAATTACAAGCCTTCACCGACTAACCGCACAATACAATACACCCTTTAGTACCTTTTATAACCGGAAACCTGCGCCTCACCAAGGTCATTAGATAAAATCCAGTCCCACGCGTCCTGTTCAGCTTGTCTGCAAATAGACAGTCGTTTGCTCTATTATAAGACGTGTAAGACCTATATTTGCAGTAGTGACCAACGAAGAATAAGGCAATCACGTACGTAGAACTTAAGAAACGTCGCGGGGGGGGGGAAGTAGTGGACAGGCTGCGATACAATCTTACCCGCGTATTAGGAGAGAATTTTACCAAAACTTCAACAAGAAAGGAGATGAAATGTCGAGGAGCCTCTAGAAGTAAAGTGTATGATAGAACTCGCTAAACCTTCGCCTCACGATGACTGTTATTTTGTTTTTGATAACGACGTATCCACAGCGCATGTGCACTGCTGGTCACGTGTTCATCAGGCAAATGGTGAAGATAAGCTCTAGTTCTAATGATCCTACACCATCGCTTGATGAAGACCTGCAGTACGGATCAGTACACGGTGGAAACGTCGCAATCAATAGCAAAATGATTATCAAGAGACAAAAGATAAAAGAGCCTAACATGCAAGTAAAATTATTTTTTAAACATCCTCTGAATCGTGGGAGCTCTACTTGGATGAAAATGATAACTGATCTGATATATCACATTAATGATAGTAGCAAAGAGTTCTCGTTTCTGTATTGTGAGAACTAAGTGCTGTTTAATTACCTGGTAAGTGCAGTCCCCTGATGAGATAACTTTACACACCTGTTACGAAACAAAAAAATAAAAATAAAACAAGTAACTTCTCCAAGGAATGACATCAGCTTGCTTTTGACGTTAAGAAAAAATGCTTCCCTAAATGAGACCGATTTTCAAATGTCAAATTATTTGAGGGACTTGTACTCCCTTACCTTGAAGCAAGTCCTTCGAATATTGTTTCTTTTGGCAAGTTAAAATGTGAGGCTACAGTGAAGGCGTTATCAAACAGGCCAGCCTGCGTCAATAATGCAACACTTTCCTGGGGTGACAGCAGAGGACCTACAAAACACAAACAAAAAACAAAGTTCATTTTCAACTTAAAATATCTGGTTAACAGAGGCCAGTCTAGAAATCACGTAGAAGGAACGACCGCCACTGAAGAGACATTTTCAGAAAATCTGAAATCCTGTAAGGGCGGTGACTGTTCAAGCCGTATGAGCCATTGTTTGTCTATATGGGAAAGTAGTTTGTAAGGCGTGGTCATTCCAATGAACCTTGGCAAGTTGACAGCAGTTTTATAGAAGTGATAAATATCGCCAAACTGGATGACCCATCGCTTACTGACAAGGGGGGAGGGGAGCTTAAGAGGCAAAAGAAAACACGTGGGGAGATAGTTGAGGCCCTCAACTCTGAAGCAAACAGTCAGGTCCCGCCAATCAGAAGCTTCATGGAGCCAAGTCAACACCTGTGTAACCTCTCTTTTTGTACTAACTGTGGCATGAAAAACTGGGATATTGATACTACCCTTCCCTGGACGGGATGCTAGTTCATCATAGGGAGAGGACACGTTCAGAAACGAATTGGAGGGAGTCTCTGTCCGCGAACAAAATTCAAGTTAGCAAACAACTGCACAAGCACATTTTTACAATTAAACTCAGGACAGGAAGGTACGTCTTCTGTACCGAATCTTTTGGGTTTCAATAATTTATTAGTCAGTGTTACGTTTGGCTTCCATCTCATCCATGGACAAAAACAGACATTTATATCCTAATTCTAACCTGTTGCATGAGTAGGATCAGCATCAATCTTGATCAACTGCAACCTGGCAAGAACCAATAGATACTCTCCTTCCAAGTCCCTCATCTCTAGCACGGTTACTTTTCTCCGAGGTGCTCCTTTATGGCCTGGGTAGGGCAAGTCACCTTCCTCGCCTTGCTTTCTTTTCGGAGACATGTTCGGGGGCTCAACAGGCTTCTACGACGATTTATGGAATGATAAATAGGAGGCATTTAACCCATAACTTCTTTTTGTAGTATTTACTAAGATGAAGGGTAAAGTGGTCGTTTATAACGCGTTATTAAAACGAAAGAACCTTGTGCATACAGTTGAGTAATAAATAGAGTCTGTGGACGAAATCCTATGGTGTGACCATTTAAATGAAAGCTTATGAGCAGTACTTTCCAGTGGTACTGTTTATTGTGTTTTAAAATCCAAAGCATAGTCTAAGGATGCCTTCCCACGCCTTTATGATTGTTTGTTAAATTGTTAATGAACCTGGTACAACTTACGTTGATTTCAACTCTGTCTAAGGGTTTTACGATCCAGGCATTTTTCGGATCTACAAGATGAAGAGCGTTCATTGCCGCTAAATAACATTTTGCCTAAAATGGAAATCAAAGCAGTAAGTCATTGAGAAAGAAACAGACGATAATATTCTACCAAACGAAACACCAAACAAATAAGAAGCTCCTCATCTCTCAATTAGAGAGGAGAGACCATTACTGAAAATATGGATTAGGTCAGCTGAGAAAATTCTCCCCTGGAAGACCAGGTAAACAAAGAAAGCAGTTAAAAATTGGTCAAGGCACTTGTTTTCTCTCAAGAATCTTAAGGCATTATTAGACTTTCTTTGCTGTCTTCGTCTCTGCCACACACCAAAGAAAACATGGGTAACCCGACAAACTGGACTGAAAACTTGCTCAAGCTACTGTTGCAGCACAGGAACCCCACGGTACACGACTTTAAGAAATAAAAATAATTTTGATCATTCTATAGCCTCTCTTACATCTCTTGTTGTGTTAAGTTTTCATGTTTTGCAAACTCCTTATTGGATAATAGTAAATTTTACCGATACCTGTTTTTGTAAGCTATCAAGTCCAGAGACCTCCTGACCGAGTCTCATGGCATGTTCGTACATTGCTGATCCAGCTGCAACATACCAGAATAAATGTAAGAAAGAAGTAATCAACAGTGAACTGTAAGCAAAGCACTTACGCGTTTTGTTAAAATACCTTAAAAGGAAACTGTGAAACTCAATAAAGTTTCGATTTACCAATTTTTTGGACTTATAATTTAACGACCAATAATTTCTTAGGTATATACTTCTTATTCAAATTACACTTTCCTGCTTTTTTGAAGTATTTCCTTTTCTAATTATCGGCATTCCAATGCCTACTTGAATCAGTTTTGCTCTCTTATAGTGGAAACACATCCGTGATTGGGCAACCCTGGTATGATGTATTTCTTTAAAAAAACCATCTATTCTGCTAGTATTTAGACATTTTAAAGTTTTCTTACCTTTTCTGAAGTTTCCTCTGAATACATGGAAAGCGTATAACATGTCATAATAATTGTGAGTTGTTATGTCTACTGTACGGGCATGGGACTCCACAATATCTTCAAACTAAAAAGAAAAAGAAGCATCCGAAGCCTTCAGTATTTTTAAGGCCATTAGATCGACCTCTCCTTTGCACAGATCATACAAATCAAACTGAATACACTCATCTACATAACCATCACCTTAAAAGTGAGCATAATTACAACATTTGCAAGCCTTATTATACATTAAGTATCAAGTACCTCATCTTGAAGGTTGATAAATGGATATTCAATGAGTCTGCGAGTTTCACCTCTTTCACAAAGAACCACCATGAACTTATGTAAACAATCCCGTCGTCTGAAAGTATAGAACATCAGTAAGCTGTTGCCTTGACCCTTTAAGCCCCCCTCCTCTCCATACAAATCCTTAAAGAATTGGTTGAGAGGGAATTTTTTAAGAAGATTGAAGCATTTTTTCTTATGGTGATCCCTTCATTCATTTTCATAACCTTTTCTTCTGATTAACAATACTGATATTGTAAGAAGAAAATTGAAGTTGGGATTTTGAGAGTTAAATTCCAAAAGCATCGTTATATGTTTACAGCTAGTAATTACACAGTAACATAAAAAATCATGGTTATGTGGTTGACATCACGAGAAGAGGGTAAGGCGGAGAAGGAAAAAATCCCCTATTATCAATACAGTAATCTATAATTACCTATAAAATCCAGCCACACATGACCCAAAGTTTGATTGAGCTATAATTCAGACTGCTGAAAAAATGACCATCTTACACAAAATAGCCAGAACGGGAGTGTTAATTCTCAGTGACTGAGTTAAATCTAATTTACTAATTTAAACTTAGCAAGACTCCTGTGATATGAGGAATATGTCTTCATTTACAAAATGACCAACCTGACAGGATCAGGATTGGCAATCAATGCATTATACGCCAGATCGCTTTGTCCTAACTCCAGATGATGCTTGAAAATGTTTGACCAAAGATTAGGCTGGAAAGAAAAAAGAAAGCAAAGTAACAAATTAAGCAACATAGATGACTTTATCCATATCCAGCAACCTGACCTAAAATACAACCATCTATCAACACCTCTTGTATGTATTTACTAAGTTTTCCATTACAGTACATTGGATAAGATAAGCTGGGCTTACTAGAGTTTGTATTTGGTAACTTACTACTTAACTAAAGACCATTCTTGCAGGTGACAGGTTCGATTAAAAATATAAATAATAAATAAAACTTGACAATAACAACCGCCGCCACCATCTTGACAATGTAACACCAGCAAACAATATTGGTTACCCAGCCACGACCAATGACCACGCCCACCTCAGCTCCCCCCTCATTTTTTACTTCTGCTGAACCAGAAGACATCTATCTTAAGAGGATGGTAACAACACCCCGCAAAATGGTAACCTCTTCAGGACCACACCCATATAAAGAGGAACTCAATCTCTGCCACACCTTGACATACATGGATTTGATTTCCATGAAAACAACTAATTACAAGCTGCACCGAATCCTGAACACAACTTGCAAAGCTTCTTTTTTTTCAAGATGCAACTCTTCCAGACTGCACCCATTGGTAAATAAGCAACAAGTAATCAGATTGAAAAGTGTGTCTTTCATGTGGCAGAACTGTGTATGGTTAAGTATTTGAAGGGACCTACCCCCTTTCATTGGAGGAATCTTGGGGCATCCTCAAGGGAAATGTTTTTGGAAGATTTCCTGAAAAGTGCATTTCAATGTATTTTTAGCAACCAGGGAATAAACGTTTAGCTACGCATTATTTACTGACATTTGCATCAATCAAACAAAACTGTTGGAAACAAAAATTTAATGAAAGAAGATGGAACTAAACGGCAATTTTAGCTCTTTGCTGGAGCTTCTGGGGGACCATGATGGGGCATGATGACCCTATGATGACCTATAGGTGACCTACACACTCACACACAGGCTAGCTTCACCATTGCCCGCAGACATTAAGTAGGCTGGTAACACTGTAAACTGTACTCACTATATTTGAATCATCAGGAGGAGCCAAGTCAAGAGCAATATGAGCTACTTGGATGACATAGTCAGGAGCATCAAACTGTTCAAACAACTTCATGACCTGTTGAAAATAATTATATACACTGGTAACTTAACAACAACAACTACAAAGGCAAAATGCTTCTTAAGGATGTCAGATATTACACTCTGTTTTGCTTACGGTGAAGTATGCAGATACTTTACTATCTGGATCTATGGTTTTAAGCAGTGAGCTTACTTATACTTTTCTGTGAAATTCTAAATTAAACAATCCCTGGTGAAACACAGTTAGTTAAACTTGGTTAGTCTCGCAGGTAACAAAGCTAAACTATCCACAAAGGGGTGCTTCCTACATTGAGTTAATCACGGAGTGTATAACTTTGCTTTCTTATGTCAACCAAGCCAATATACTGTAAAATATATAAGCATACTACACCAGGCAGCTTAACCTACCTTTACATAAAACAGAACAAGTAATGTTGGGATGTCTGTGGCATCAGTTTGGAGAACCTTCGACATAAGGGAGTCTTTTGAACCTACATGGTAGAAAGCACAATTAAATTTCAAGCAACAACTACAGTGTACTTACAACAACATTGTCTTGAGTTTAAACTGACAACTGATCGAATCATTCGTTACAGAGCCAGATCCAGACCTCGAGATAAGGGGGGGCTGGTCATCTAGACCCTTAGATAAGAGGGGGGGTCTCCCAAAAAAATTTTTCTGCCCTTCAGGCCTCACTTTGGTCTAAAAATAGGGGGGGGCTGGATCCGCCACTGTGTTAATGCGATATTTCTTGTTATTCTCATAACTGTAGGTGCAATACTTTCCATACCATTGAGAGGCCATGTGGCCTACAGTTAATCATGATCACGAAAAAAATAAAATAGAGAAATCCCCATCACTCACCAATACCCCTTGCAGCCTTCAAAAAGTATCCCAAGGCTTTGTGATATTCTCCCAGCACCAAATGTGATTGGCCCAGTAGAAAATACCAAGATGATTGGCAGGTGTCACACCAGTAGCAAATCAGATGGGCATACTCTTGAATGTGAAGATACTGATAACTGGTCAGCAGGAACTCAGGAAAGAGCACGCTCTCCTTGGAAGGCCAACTATTAGGTCAACTATGTTAAGGTACACACTCAAAAGTAATAGTTACAGTAGAATTTTTATTACAAGGTCAGTGGTCTGACATAGTGGTCTAACAAAGAGTTTAACTGAGGAACAAGGATAAGAACAGTCAGTGTATGGCCTTCTGAGCAGGAGGTTCCAAGTTCTCTTTGTAACTTCAAATCCTTGTTTTGACTTCTTTCATCACAAAGCAATGATGGAAAGAAAAGGGTTACATAGATGCATCATCAGTTTCTGGTTTTTCTGTCTAATAAGTACTGTTACAAGTTACCGGCCAGGCAGTGATGACCCTAACTACACAAACTCACTTGCAACTAAAGGGATGGTGTGATAAACAGCTTATTGGACTCCAGATAAAGTTCAGGCCTTGGTTGTTTAAATGTTGGATAGCACTATCGACCAGATAAATTATTGCTATCCAGTGGATAAGTGTTAAGCAATCCAATTGCCTATCCAGTGGATAGCACTATCCACCTTTTGAACAACCGGGGCCAGAAGTTTAACTGGACGATGCCTTGATGTACTGTCTCCTATAACGAAGATAGACTATGACCATTGTCCCTTCCCATATAGGTTACAACTGGGTTGCCAGAAAAAAAAATTGGGAGAGCAGGGCAAACTCATACAGGGCACACCCGGGATGTAGCAAAGTGATATATTTTTCTCTAGCACAACAGATCCAGGTATACCTTCAGTAATATGAGCAAAAGGAAATTGACGTATGCTTATTAATTTTAACCTTCCAAGTAAATGAAGGAAATGATAAAGAAAATGTTTAGTTTACTCAACAAATTAATGAAAAATACATAACAGAATTCAAAGGATACAGAAGGTCCAGTAAAGTGTAAACAGCTTGGTTAAAGTACGTGGACCACAGGAGTTGTGGATCTTGCTCTTGCATTTCCTTGAGTACATGAGCCAGATGCCTCCTCAACTGAGTACCACCAATACCACAAAGAAAGAGCTCCCCAACAGATAGGGAAGGGTCATCTGAGGAGAGCAAAAACACAACAAATTTAACTTCTTGATTAACTGACAAGTTGAGGTCTAGCAGTGTAAGTCTTACCAAAAACTGCCTTTGAATCCTTTCCATCATTTATTTCCAGGGCTGCTAACTGTTTTAAGTTTGATTCTCTGCAAGAATTATTAATAATTATTTTTGGTCAGTAGTAATTTTAGTCATGGTATCTTACAGACAAATATTATGCAAAGTTTTTCCAGAAAACATCCACACCCCTCTTTGAGAGGAAGATTAGCAAAAATATGATGGAAATTTCCTTTAAGCTACACTAATAGAAAGTTTGAGGCTTTACCAGAATCCTGTTTATTTACTTCATTTTAGAAATTTTACTTATGGATGCATCAAAAATTTTCAATCTACACAGCAGATGTTAAGTCTGGATACTTACATGGCATTTGATGGAGTAGAAGTGACAATTTGTTCCATGATCCAGTGAAGAGCAAAGTATGACCTCAGTAAAAACACTGTCTGTGGAATATAAACTGATGACACATCCCCTGCTGTCCTGACCTCTAATCCAATCTGGATAAACAAATAAAAATGACAATGCAAACCAAATTTCAGTGCACTTTCCTCTGGCATTGTTTATGATGCTCTAATATTTATGATGAAGTTGCAACTTTTAAATCAGTGAAACACTGACAAATCATTGCTACAGTTGTCTGTATTATTAATACTACAGCTCCTTCCTAATAATTTATCAATTTGTTAATACTAGTAACAGGGTTGTCACTAAGATTTTAAGTTGCCGGGTAAATACAACAAGTAGGCGGGCAATCAAACAGCTATCAATTTCTTTTCGTTCTATTTTTCTTCTATTTTCCAATAAAAGTAGCTGGGGGCAACTCTCTTAGTAGCTGGGGAAAATCCCCGGCCCCTGGCTCTTAATGACAACCCTGCTAGTAATAATAAATTACTGCTACAACTGAAGGTACTTAGAAGATGAAAATTATATAAATTACCTTATGAATGCCAAGCTTTGTTACCAAACTTAGAAGTACGAGGAGGTGTTTGCACACCGACAATCGGGATGTAACTAATTGGTGACAAGACTTGGAGAGGAGAGACAAAGACAAATGACTGCTGAATAAATGGCTGCAAGCCATTAAATGAGATGCATCAGACAAACCTAAAACAACAACAACATAACACCACATAAATGAGAACCCAGCTGTTTAACACCACATAGGATGAAATAACTTATGTGTACAAGCTTTGATGTCTATCTGTGTTACCATAGTGAAATCTTACCAGTATCCTGATCTCCTGTACCATCTTTCACTATGCCTTGAATATCTAATCCTTGAAGAAGGAAATCCAGACACTTGAAAAAATGGTTGACCTTATGTAAACTAAAAGAGAGAATAGTTTGTTATTTCCAAAAATTATATTATTTTTTTCTAATTTAACATTAACTTTAAACTCGGATTACCACCTTTTAACCTTCAATTGTGTTATAGTCTCACCCTGCTTTACAGACACCTATTTAATATGGACACCTCATTATTACGGACAGTTTCCTTTGTCCCTGGGGAAAGAAAACCCTTACATTTTATTTAGATTCAACCTGCTTAGTATGGTCACTTTATATGGTTCCCTAAGTGTCCATATTAAAGGGGTTTGATTGTACCAGCATAAGTAGACATTGATTCTTTAGATTGCTATGGTTACTTCGTTACAAGTAGTTACACCCACTTACTTTGCTTGCCTATGCCTAAAGTCTACTCACTGCCAGCACCCACCATCTATATCTCCCTTTCCCCAATGACAACTTAATTAAACAAAATGCTTTTGTACCTGGTCTCCAGCTCCTGTTGAAACTCATACAAAGCATGTCCATCCACACCCTGCTGTTGCTCCAAATCACTGCCATCGCTGTCATCACTGCCATTTAATAAAGTCAAACACTACTATTAAGTAAAAGTAAACTTAACTTGCTTAAGAACTTTAAATCCACAAAAAGTTATTAATATTTATTTGGAAGAAGGAGAATTCTGGCCAAAAAGTTCAGAAAAAATTCTGAGCTCCAGGTGAGAATTAAACTCAAGACACTCTGAGTTCTAGGTGGGATGCTTTGACCACTAAGCTACTAAGGGCTCTATGGCGAGCAAGGTTAAAATTTAATGATAACTATACCAGCCATACAAAAAACTGTGAAAAAGAGAAACCTTCTACTCTTTTCTGGAGTCTATATACTTACCTTACACTGGTTAAGAGAAATGTAGCAATGTGATCTGCAGTTATAGCAGGGTTAAGCTGATATTTAACATCATTGTCAAATGCTAACATTTGTTCTAGGGTCAGCTGAATAAACAAAAACAATATAAAAATGTTAACACTTCCGGGGAAATCATTTTAAGACAAAAATGACTTCCATAAAGCTTAATCCGTGCACTGTGATCAATATCAATATTGCAAAACTAGTGAACAAACGAAAAGGAGCAAGCAAGGGAAGGTTGGTTTCACTGCATTGGTTGAATGTCAATTCCACAATACAACTCTGTGGTGACAGGATTACAGATTGGAGGAGTATACTGGAACTGGAACTGGGATTGTACCTTACCTGTTGTGATACCATTTTGATAAGATTACAAAAATCTACAAAGGACGTCTTCAGGGCTTTAGCTGCAGATGCAAATAACAATGCAAGAGTTTATGTTACCAGCAATCACAAACATGTATCAACAGGACAAGTCATTAAATCAAACTATCGGCAGTATATTGAGGGAGTGGTGTAGTATAGTATTGTAGTTTTACATCACTGAAAGGAAAAGATACAATATAATATCCAAAAAATGGTAATAAACCAGGTGCCAGAAAAATCTGTATAAAAAAATTGCTTTTATTGTTAGGGGGAACCAAATCCTAGTTCCCAGCTGAATTTTGGTCCAAGTCCAAGTTACTAAAGAAGAGAAAAGACCATTACAAAGCAATGTCTAGTGGACCTTAATTTTATTGGCTGCAGTAGCCACAAAGAATTAACAAATTTATTAATTATGAACAAACCAGCAACAGGCTCTTGGGAAAGAAGTGATACATCCATTGGCTCTGGGGAAAGGTGGACTTCTTCAAACAGATCACATGGTCTCAAGAAAGACAGCATTTCCTACACAATAGCACAGTGATGTCAATGACACATTCTCCATCTGAATACTAAATTAGTTCTCTTTCATAGTGTAGTACATCATCAGAAACATAATTGTCACCTTTACTACTATCATTACCTTCATTATCATTATCATAATCATCATTGTCGTCACCATTACATGTATTATAACTATCATTGCCAGATCACCATTACCACCATCATCACCAACAACATGATCACAAGAACCATCATAGCAATCACCATCAACATCATCATTGCCATCATATCATCATCACTGCCATCATCGATCATCATCATTGTCATCATCGTCATCATCATCAACAACAACAACAAAATCTTATAATATCATGTGCCATGAAGAAAACTAGTGATTCAACTCCAACATTTACCTTTCGAACTAAACTGACCAAACCTGTGTTGTTGTCAACAAAAATACCCAAGACTTTACTTGCAACCTGAAAGGAAAAAGGATAAAGGAAATTAATTTAGCAGACATCCTTGTCATGTCCCAAAATATGATGCTTGTAAACAGAAATGGAATACTATTGAAGAAACATTGATTTAGTGACAAGAAAAATAGTTTCAAATTAAAAGAGGTCTTATCGAACCTAGCAGGGACAGGTCTACAGTTCCCTCAATTTACTTCAAAGGAAACAGGAGATGCCAATACAAAGGCTAGGCAATCACTGTTGACACAGGTAAGGCAATCACTAACAAGTGACCATTATGTAAACACCATCAGTGGTAGTTCATTTGGGTGATAATTTTCATTTTCATCTTTCATTAGTGGTCAATATGAATGTTAAGATAAACAGGTGAGTATGACAAAGCGTACTTGATGGTACTGTACAACATAGCTGAAGAACTTGGACCAGCAATGAAGCTGCAAACTGTTAAATTGATCATGAAGCATCTCATAATCTGGAGCAGACATCTGAATCTAAAGAAATAAGATAAAAATGAATAGAAAGCATGATCGGGGTGCCTTATTATAGAAAGACAATACAAAAGGCAAGATGACATTTCAATTACTGTGCCTTGTTGCAGCCTCAAAGTAAAAGTGTTTTTACAACACAAACCTCAGAGTCTATAAGATTGATTACAGCCTGTTTAAGGTCTCTTCTTGAAACTGTCTCATCAACTTCATTGACGATGTTTGAAACTGGTAGATGACGATAAATCTGTTAAATGCAATTTATCCAAATTTAATGTTAATCATAACAACTGAAATTTTATTTAACATCCCCAAAGACCGTCAAATTTTACACAATTAAAAGTGGCATGCATTGAAGTAAACAGATCAAGTTCTACACAAACCACAAGTTACCAATGTAGCAAGCAAGCTTCAAGTTACCTCAACTCAGGTTCCCTTTTTGAAAATAAGACACAGGCTACCCAATTATCGAATGAGATGCAGATTGAGCATGCATAACTGGGACTTAGTAAGTTATAGAACTAAGTGCTTAAAGTGACAAACCTGCATGGCCTTCAGAATGGTGTTATTTGAAAACCTTCCAGGGTAGAAAATTTGCTCCAGATACACCTCCTAGGAAAAGATCACCCAGAAACTAAGTTAGATACTTACACAACACACCATTAATAAAATAAATATATAAATAAAATAAATAAATAGCGATTTGGAGGTAGCAAATCCACATGGTGGTTCTTCGTCTACCTGATTCTAGGTGAAATTGGGATTTGAAAATGTTGGTTTTTGAAGAGAGGGGAAAACAAGAGTACCTGGAGAAAAACCTCTCAGAGCAAAGGAGAGAACCAACAACAAACTCAACCCACATATGGCGTCAACGGCAGGATTTGAACCCGGGCCACAGTGGTAGGAGGCGAGTGCTCTGCACCACCCCCACTCCTTGCTGTACAGGAAATAATGCTTTCTGTATGTGTTTCAGATTTTGGCTGTTAACAAACGACAGAATTTTTATTCTTTCTATTGTAGGGTGGGACCATGTAAACAAATTAAGGCTTGGGTGGAGGATGGGGGATACCTCCTTATTTGGCCTTGTACAATGTGTACAAGGGTGGCTGCTAGACAGGTTACATTTTTTTCCCCCTCTGTCCTTAAAAGGGTGTACAATTCCACGTGAGCTTGTTCTACACAAGGTCTTAATGTTTCAGAAAAAAACAGCAGACTGTGTACTAAAACAGAGGTTGTTTTCCTAAATGGTGCAGGTATTTTTAAGGTTGCAAACACTGCACAGCCTCTGAACCAAATTTGCATCAAGCAACTGCTTCCTCCAGGTAATCTGACTACTAAGTTGACTCACTCTATGTTCTTTGTAGGTTGCACTCTCAACATCAAAGTGATCTGTTGGTTCTAAAAACACTCTTGTCCAACTTGTCTGTTGCAGTCCACCTCTGAAAGATAGTGATAAACTTTTATTTAACCTGAATGAGACTGGTAATGTCTCAACCAACATACATGCTAATCCACTGTATAGTACAGCATTGCTGTCCACACTCATTACTGAACTTATGCAATAGGATGATAGAGGAAATAGCAACGCAAACCTTCTGTGGCATGCCAAGCAAGACAATAATTACCGGTATGTATGAAAACATTTTCCAGCAAACTTCACCTTCCTTTATACAGATATTTTTAACAGCACAAGTCATAGTAATCTGAGCCCTGTCACATTTGTCACACACACACAAGTTTTGCTGTTCTTTTTCTTTCTGCCATCTTTTTCATAAGTTTTCTAATAGCACTTAATTTCTCTGTTGTTCATGAGTGTATACTTCCTTCACCCTGCATAGTGCCACAAAACATTTTGCATAGTTCTGGACACCCTACGTTCTTGATGGGTGTCCTTTTAGCACAGACTTGTCATTTACGGCTGGGGGCCATGGATTTTGCCTTGCTAATTAGGAATGTAAGTCATACAGTAGAACCCTGGTAACTCAAACTCTGAAGGGAAACTAAAAACAGTTCCAGTTACTGGGGAATTCGAGTTATTGGGGTAAATTTCAGTGGAAGGAAATTTAGTTTCAGTTAGCAGGTAATTCGAGTTATTCCAGTTTGAGTTATCAAGGTTCTACTGTAGTTATTTTGGTCTATGTAATATTGATATCTTGACCACAAGAAAATGTCAGATCACTAGGTACTTTTCCTATTTTACTAGACTTACGTAACTTAAATTTTTTTTACATGTTCTGTAGGACAGCCCTGCAGTGTAAATGGATAAGCACTCCTCTTACCCCTCAACTAATAAAATCCCTTACCCTTCACTGGGTTTGACATACACCATTGTTTCACCCTCTGTGTTCCTCCATACTGTCCAAATGTGGGATGGAGTCACGGCAAAGTCAACAAGATTCTCCTGGTTTTGAAAAACAAAATTTGAAAGAAATTGCTGACAACTGATTTTCGTGCTTCACAAAAATGGCTAAATTAGCAACAAGCAGTCAATTTTTATTACAGCTGCTCGCTACAATAAGAAATCAATGCTTATACAATGAGGAAAAGTTTCTTTAAGCATAGAAGAGTTTGTGTGAACACTGTTCATTATTGTTGTTATGGACAAGGACCAGTTCATTGCGGTCAGGATAATTACACAATAACCTTACCTTTTTAAAATAAGAGAATGAAATTTGTGATAGAATAATTCCCTCTTTTGCTGCTATTACTTCATAAACACAGAACTGAAAAAATAAAACACATAGAACAGATATTCAGCAAACAGTACATTTACCATAAAGTAGTTATCACCATATCAATATAAAAACTATTGCCATAAAGCTAACCTGAGAGTTATCTGCTATACTTAAAAACAACCCAAGATAAAATCTTCCTGTTGCAGGATCCACCACTTTTCGAAGCAAATGACTTTGAGCTGTAAAGAATAATAATCATTCTTTCCTGAGGTTAAAGTACATTGTAAAGTTATTTTAATTTCTTTGGAGTAGAGCATCTTAAAGGATGCAAGAGCTATGCACTGGGTAAACAGTTTTCAGCTCTGTCTTGTAGGGAAGAATAAGCATTTTTAGCTGGTATTGATATTCAAGATGGATGGTTTCTTTGATAAAAATTATTATTTTAAAAAACTATCTCAATATTTCCACTTAAAGCCGTACACATTGCAGTTCACTACCCAAGAATATGTCAATGCTACATGTTTTAGCCAATCACAATTTTATTATTTTTCTTGTTTTTTTTTTCATTAAAGGCAGCCTCAGATCAATTTAACCAACAGTCAACACAAGAACTTTATGCTGATTCTTTTGTGAGCTGCATGAAATTAAATGGCAATATCATCATCCTTGTGACTGTGAATATTTTCTTTACCTGGAGAGCTCTGAACATCAACATCATCAGAAATATCTTCCAAAAGATCTTTAACATGAATACATGTTTGATCCTACAGATTTAAATCAGATAAACAAATAGCTTGAAAGAAACAAGGAATGAATCAAACATGACATCCATGTACATGGTTGTTAACACAAGTAGAGATATAAAAAAACAATGTAACCAAAGTAAAAGCTATTCCTTAACAAAAATGTTTTACACTGAAGATGACCTCCCTGCTTCTACAGTATGTTTTTAACTTTCTTAGTATATTCAAGCTGAATAAGATTTTTGTACACACGTGCTGATATCTCACCTGACAAGACCAGATCCTGAGTTTCAGGTCTCTGCAGAGTGCAAACACACACATGTGTTTCCCAAATGGATGGATAACCAAACTCACTACAGCATCAGCTGCTAGCATGTCCCTTCTGAGACTGGAGGGAACAAGACCTGACCACAGGCGCTGAATCATTCCTGCTTGTTGTAACTCAAACTGTTCAACTTGACCTGTAGAAAGTGTTTTTATCAATAAGTTACATTTTATGTAACTACAGTAGTTTAGTTGGCTACACCTTAAAACATTTACATCAGCTCTGTACTAGAAATAGAAGCAAGTAGAGTTGCTAAATTGAGAACACAGTTTCATAGGTTCCTTCATTTTGTCAACTTACAGTTCTAAACAAAATGTCTAGTCAAGTCAACAGAATGTCCAGAAATTTAAGGGGTCAGAAGGATTAAGGAAGACCTCTCCAGCCCCTTCTGCACTGTCACTGAAAAATACAGTTGACCCAGAAACTACCTGGAACTGATTTACTATTTTTTTTACATTATTGTTTTATTTCAACATTTAAAAACCAAATTTACAGACTGCTCTGCCCACAAATAGAAGGGCTAATCAACAGGTGTAGGCAGGTATAGCAAATCAGAAAAATCCTGTTTAGAACAACACCCTCAATTTTATTACCCTGTTTAGGACAAAGGACAAAATGTATGCCATCTTGTTTTCACGTTATGGTCACTGCTTTTGTATTCTTAGTACAAACAAAATTCATCTACATGTAGCAAATCAAATCAATCGTGCAGGCAATACCTTTTTGACAGACTCACGTTAAATTACATAACTTGTTTAGGACAGCCAGGTCAAAAACCATACCCTGTACAGCAGCACAATTCCGTATAGGCCATATAGGGGGGGTACCCCCCCTCCCCCTCCACCGACACCTTACTCCATATATCAGTCCATTATCAAAGGGTTTTAAAACATAAGACGGCTTACATGGATGGGATAATTATTTCTACTATTTTAACTCACCATCAGTGCCTGGAGGTGGCAATTTAATCAACAAGATCATGCCTGTCCCTGTTGCTAAAGCAAAAAGGCAATTTCCATCCTGACAAAGCCAACTTGAGAATGTTAAACAAGAATGAGAAAAAGTCGCAGTGTTACAAGGTTCTTGTAGATCACGAGGAGAGAAGTCAGTGAAGATTGATTGCTGGCTGCCCTCAGATGAAGAAGATAAGGCAAAGCCCTGTGCACAGTAAAATAGAATTTTTCTTAATAACACTAATACGCATATGAGGCTTCTATAAAATCAGAATTTATCTGGACTTTCACCAAGAATGGATGGAATGTATGGAACACAATCTGATCATGCCCATTGGGACCTCCTATCACTTGATATCTGATTGTGTGTACTTTGAATTCTGTCGAGCACAGTGCTGGATCAAGAGCATTTTGACCTTCACTCTATCTCGCCCTCACTCCCTAACCTTTGTTTCTTACTAAAATCGGCGACAAAACAAGCTGAGACACGTCACCCTAAATTGGGCTTTTTTACATTTTACTGAATTCAACAGGAGGAAGTATAGCTTTTCCTTCCTCATCTCCTCCATGCAATGTAGTGCCTATGTTCAAGCTACCTATAGAAAACAACAAACACCCCAACTTTGAACAGCGAGGGCAGGGGAGGGGTGCAAATTCTTTTGTTCTCTGAAGTTACTCTATGTGAGTACAATGTAGTTATAGAATCACTCGTACAATGAAACTAAAAAGGACAAGAAAAAAGAACTTGCATGTCTGTGAAGTCTTTCAGGATGAGAAAATACAATCCTATGAACACTGCTAGTTGTGGCCACTAAAACACTAATGTGTGCACGGGTTTCAAATATGTACACAACTGGCAGAAGAAAACCACCAGCAAATTGTAATTTAAGGCTATTCCCAGTGAGATTGTAATCCAATGATTGTTCAACCAAATGCAGTACATTGTCTGTTATTCTCCTACAAAAAAGAAACATTTATGTTAATTTATAAAAACATTGTATTCCCTACAGAACTAAAAATTCTAATAATTCTCCTACAAAAAAGAAACATTTACGTTAATTTATAAAAACCTTGTATTCCCTACGGAACTAAACATTCTAATAATTATTACGTTTATGTACAATTTAGAAACAAACGTTTCCCAACACATCTTAGATTTGGATAAGATGAGCTTTACAATATCTGCAAGATAAGATATCTCCACCAGCTACTTCAGCTTAAACGAAGCTTTTCATATTACCATATTTTCGACTTCACAGCTGTTTGTTTGTGAGGAATAGTTTGTGAGTACTTACACGTGACAGTTCCGAGCATAGCATAATCTAAATTAAGTATCACCCGTTAAAAGCTCCAGCTAAAAGGTATTAAGCCTATATTTTAAACTAAAGTACCGACCAGAAAATAAAGCGATTTCTCGTGACAGCGTCCGCAAGCCCACTCTCTCGATACGCATATCCACCTCCAACGTGTGATTTCGCATAATCTTCATCTTTTACTGTTGTTGTCAGCGTGGTTGCTATCGTAAAATCAGCCGTCTTTCCACCATTTCTATCACTATGAAGTGCTACTTCCCTAAAGCTTCTTCCGTCCGCCATCTTGTTTAGTTGCCCGCCACGCGAATGGACGTTAGAGCCCAGTCTTCGTAATTTTCCCACAAGACCGCGCACAACGGCACAAGAATCATTTTTGGTGTTGACATGCGCGCATAGATCCGGGGGAACAACGCAAATCTTTAACATCATTGTATTGGTAGTAACTCTCTTCACCAGAGGTTATCCCCAACATTCAATTATATTTACTGCTCTAAACCTTTCTGTATTTTTTTTTCATTTTTCAAACGCGCGTCAGGATCCCATGTTCCCCTGAGCGCGCGTACAGAATGGTGTTTTGCCACGCCCAAATGCGACTCTTCAACCAACGCACGCGCATAAAATTCCTTTTATAATGTTTACCTACTTTTATGTTTTAGCTTTCTTATTTTGTCTCTTGGGGGGATCTTTCATAATTACAGTAGAACCCAGGAAACTCGAACTCTGAAGGGAAACGATAAACAGTTCGAGTTATGGGGGTTCGAGTTATCGGGGTAGATTACAAATTCAATTTTCCAAGTTGAAAATTGATAGTTACTGATTTTTCAGCACTTCAGTGTATGGTGCAGTTTAAATTTAACTTATTTCATCAGAAATGGTAACATGATAAGGCATTTTTAATGATAAAACGTGATCTGTTCGTTTCGCTCCATCTCTTCACCAGTTTCTTCTCGGCTCATTCGCACCAGTCTTCCCTTGCCTGTTAGTACAGCAAATATCCTCTCGATCATGGAAAAGACATATGGGTCGAAGGCTTTTTGATTCCCTGCTCTCAGTCAATTTTATCAAATATACGCTAAAACCGCCCTGCATGTAATAATGCTTAAAGCTTTTGTTATAACCAACACCTGCATTATACGTTTAATTTTCGACAGCAAAGGAGGGAACAAGAAGTTTGTTCACTTGTTTAAAAAAAGAACAGTTTTTCTAGTTCATGCTAAAACTGCAATGAGTATATTCGGAAGATCCCCAGAAACCATAAAATATATCTGCAGCAATAATCGGATGTTCTAAAAAGAAGCCCAGATGCCGATTCTGTACAGAACACATTACGGAAAAGGAATCAGCTGAATGAACAATTCAGACCCAAACCACCTTGTTAAACATGATGAATGGTTTCACACTTTTAGCCTTCGGTTGCACGCGACAGTTTAATACGATAAAAAAATACGGAAAATCCCAGTATATACAAAAATGGAAGTAAAAGGTCACCCTTACACTAATGTTCATGTGTACTACTGGTGAGAATGCTTATATTTAGCCTTTTAAGTGAACATTTACAAAATTGTGGACCTATATTTTTCGCCAGTTTTAAAAAACATCACGATATTTTTTTCAGAATTTCAGTGTCAGTAAAACATGTTTCGATGTGTCTCACAAATTTATAACAACCTAGGGAAGCATGCATAATTAGCTAACGTAAAAAAAAAACACAAAGCTTAAAGTGTAGTGTTAAGTTGACATGATTATCTTGTTGACTGGGATCAGGCATTTTCTTGTTGATATCCACAGCTTCCTTGAGTTTAAGCTCGATTGATTTGCTTGAGGCGGAACTGATTTATAATCTCAAAGCAATCAGCTACAGACGAGTAGGATGTACGGTAATGCTCCCGAGTACATGAAACCTGGTTTAAGTGACAGTACAAAAAACTATTTCAGACAGCCATTAACATGCTCCCAAAATATTAAAGCGGCCATATGAGATATTGACGAAAGTTAATGGCTTTATTGACTCTTTGGCTTGATTTATTTTGGCTTTTAAAACAAAAGCGAAAAGGTGTTAGCAGCTTGTGTATCATCAATTGCTAATATTTCTTCCTTTCTTCTATCACGCGAAAGTCCCCGAAAGATCAACTGACTTTAAAAAGATCAGTAGAGCTAGAATAAAATCGGTAATTCGTGTGATAGTGGTAAAAAGATAATTCTACTTGAGGAGTGATCGAAAAAATTTGTAATTACGTTTGGCTTACGTAATGGATATATAGAGGGTAAAACATAGGAACATGATTGGTTCCAATTGGTCGTAAATTGATCTTGAATTTTTATGAATAGTATAGTAGAAACTGAATCTACGCAGGAGCCCATTATGGGCTCCTGATCAACGTTTTAAATTAAATAGTGTTTATTACGATCAATATGTATTTACAACTCAGGGTCCAATATTGCCGAACCATTGCTCTGAACCTTGGGACATCGTTTGAATATCACACTCATTTATCCTTCACCAATATAAATTCTAAACGCTACTAAAAATTTATTCCATGCAAGAAAACATGACGAGAAATAATTCTCTAGCCTTTTAAAAATTGTAATACTGTTTGCGACTGAGGAGTTGCAAAATACAGGTAAATTTGTTCCCACACATCCAGCCAGCTAACTTCACTCTGGCAAGAAAAGTTTAAGGAAGAAAAAAACGTCCAGTTACGAATTCTGTTGCTTACTATACGTCAGAATAACTACCACGATTGAAATAGATCACTGATTGTCTAACTATCGAAAAACCTTCAAATCCCAGAAAAATGAGTTTAAAACGATCGAAATTAGCTGAGAGAGGTTACATTAGAATTTTCCAAAACAAGACACTGCATGCCTCAATATGTTTCCTAGCGGGAAAAAAGGGGAACACTCGATCACTTGCAAAATTAGTGTGTAGCTCTATGCTGTAACAATTTTTAACAAAATATCTCATGTCAGTCTATAGTCTATCCAACCCTGTATAAGCCAGATCTGACTAGTTTTTAGCTGTGTGCTACCCAAAGAGAAGCGATTTTAAGCTTCAGTGATAATTAAAGGTAGGGGTTAGAGACGCCTTTCTTTTTCGGGCCCGTATGTAAATGAACTATTAACTACGAAAGGATCAGTTAGTTTTGAGTTTTCATTGCCCTGTTTATTTTTCCAAGAGAGTAATGTTGACTTTGAAAACGCGCCCCCCGCCCCCTGATTTAAGATGGATGCTTTCAAACTATGCGGAGATCAGGAGTCTGAATTTTCCTTGGGTGTCGGCTCTATCGCCCACGCGCTTGAAATGTGTCTACAGTCGTCTTGTCGTACTGTTTGGAGCTCAGCAAATGTTTAAAGTTCTTCAAATAAATAGACCACACTTTATGGGATCCAAAATTTACAAAGTTTATTGCGAATTTATCTTTAAATCTTTCCAGTAGTTGAATGTCTAAAGCAGACAAGCTTGCTTTAATGATAGCTGTGAAACGGTTTTCGGCTAATTACAAAGAAAGGCGTATAAAAGTGGCGCAGGTTTAAATGAATTATATATAATGCGGCATTTCTATATGAAGAACATCTGGGTTTAAACTATACTGCGGTTGTACATTTTATCAATAAATGGCATCAACATCTTCTTATCTCCACCTGCATTTATCTACAACTACAAAACGCTTGTTAAATTCGTTCGCCGTAAGCTTATTTAGTTATGATTCATTGAGGAAGCGGTTCTGCATTTTCCACGGAACCTACAACAGGAAATCGTCGTGCGAGCGGGCTGATTTCTGCAATGGTTGTACCGCCGTCGTGAATGAGTTAGTTACATCCTGCCAATTTGTCATGACCTACAAGAACAAAGGAAATATAGATACTTAAAACTTTATCCACGATATAATACAGCCTTTTTTACTTTCTTTTGAGAGATTTTTAATGTAAAATATATTACATAGTACATCGATAATTAGCTCTGTATATCAATAATTAGTTTTCAGACTCTAAAAAGATCGCTACGTGCCGTCAATTTAAAAAAAGCACAAACATCAAGGTTTTTTTGTGTAACAGGAATTCTTAAAGTTTTTATTCTCATTTCAACCACTTGTTATGGAAATGGTTATAAAGCAGCTTTTCTTAAATTTATTGTAATATGTACGAGTTTGGCTTCGAATCAGATTGAACTCGACAAAAATATTTTACCAAGTACAGTGCAACCATTACTTGCTCAAAAATCGTTTACAATAAAAAATATTATTTATTTATTTCTAATTTCTAATCCAAGTGTTTAGTTGAATCGTTCATTCGGCTTTAAAATATATCTGTGTCTCAGGCTCTCGGTCGAAAGGCTATAAACACTGGAAATCAAATTCTTTAACGGATTTACTGAAATCAGAAAAAAAAACCAGAAATAACAAAAAAGCATTTTCGGACTATGTAAATAATATTTTGCTTTTATATCAAAAGAGAGATCAAAAGTCATCGTACTTTGATCATAAACATATTCAAATTAAACGTGTTTTAAACTGTTCAAATGAAAATTTAACGAAAGAAATACAAAAAAGACAACCAAAAGTAAAAACGGGAAAAAATCAGGTACTTTAAAATTATTTATTTAAAGGGAAAGCAGTTCAAGCTGTACGAGAATCGAGTTTCGTTTCAACGCTTCCTTTATTTGCCAGCATGTGAATATTCTCAACAGAAAAAAAAGGGTTCAAAATTGAGAACTATGTATCAGTAGAACATCATAGAAACATCAGCTTAGCCGATTTAACGTTTCAATCTCTATTATTTCTAGGGCAAGCATTTCGTCGAGTGAAATCTAATTTCTAGAAACCGTAGGTGACAGTAGAAGCTATCAAACGAACCTGATTAAAAACTTGGGGATTTCTTGTGGCCTGTTTATTACGAGCGTAAAAGGTGGTCTTAACCTTTGTATGTTTGTATTCAAATAAAAATCAACCAAGCAGATTTTTACGTTTGATATTGTTTACCAACCTGTAAATACTTTTTTTTTAATCCTGTGTATTAAGCTAATAACTTGAACGTTCTTGCAAATGCTCAGGAAAAGGTCATGAAGACTGATTTTGTTGTTTTCTTACGCGCGCGCACCCTTAACAAATTTGTTGCCGAGACAAAATAATTGTAAAACGTTCCTGCAAAATAGGTTGCGTTCACAATAAATTTCAAATGTCTATAGGCAATTAGCATTGAGGCAGTTAACAAACAATGGAACAAGCAAAAATTTTGTTTTGCTTTACCCTTCGTATTTTTAAAATGTTACTTCATTTTTCTAGCTATTGCACTAGTATACTACTGAATAGAACTTACATCAATGGGTGGAAGAGGCTCTTTGAATGGTTCTAGTTCATTCGTAATCAACGACTGATTGTACGGAGGAGCGGATGAGGCAGTAGGTACCGGATGTTGCAGCGGTGGCACGCACTTTGCCACTGGCTTGCCTGTTGGGGGTTCCTCGTTCAAGACTTCGTTCAGCGCCTTGATGTAGTTTATAGCTAAACGAAGCGTGGTTATCTTGGCCATGTGGCCATCAGCAATGTAGCAGGGGAGGGCATCACGAAGTGCCTGAAAACCGTTGTTCAAGACGCGCATTCGATCACGCTCCCGCGCATTCACCAAAAGACGTTTCTTGAGGGAATTTTTTTGACGCTTTGATTTCACGGGCGATGGCGTTTCTTCTGGCTCAAACTTTGGTTGCGCTATTGGTAAATGTGGAGCAGGCCCTCTCGGACGTAAGTTATAGATACCTTTGGCGAAATCAGAGTCACTAGCGGTGTTTCCATGAAATGTGGAACCATCTGGGAAACAGCTTCCATTTGGTCCCATCATTACGTTATCAGCAAAAAACGATGGTGTTTCGTTCACTTGCAAGCTGTTGAGCATGTTGTTCTCCAATTGCGGCGGGGCGAAACTTAGTTGATGAGTGTTAGTAGCAAACATTTCATCGGCTTTATAGTCGTTGAACACCTGAAGCTTACTGAATCGACTCCAATGCGTGCACCTGAAGTAAGGTCAGTTTATAGCTTTCTACGGGGTTTTAATACTGTTCCCACTTGTATTAAACAGTTTCCTCATACCCATGTAGACTTCATAATGAGTATTGTAATTTATTCAGTCCCTTAAAGCAGAGGCATTGACTTGCAAATAACCAACACCCACCAAGAAGAGTTTTTAGTTTGAAAAAAGGTTATCTTTGTTAATTTTAACGTTGAATGGTGCAGAGACCTGGCACTGCACGGAAGCTGATTTTGAGTTATAGTTATTTTGAAGTAATGAAGACACTTAACACAAAACAATGGTTTTGTGGTTGCACTGCTGGAAGATTCTAGCTGTGAAGTTATCTTTAGAAAGATGGGTAATGTGATAGTTGTTAAGCAGTCTTAAAGCTAATATTCACTTTTCCGCACAGTTCTGAATTTTGCAATTCATCGGAAAACCCACATTTCCTAACACTCCTCTTTGTTACTCCTCAGTTCTGAGTGCTAGTGTTTGTCAATCGTGAAACGTAGCTGCCTTAAAATGGCTGAAAAGAGAAAGAAAAAAGACAAAAAACAGCGGTTTTTAAAACAGCTGCAAACACATTGTAACAAGGTTTTCACTTCTGCTTGTAATTGCTAAAATGTCATTAAAAGTTAATATACTTGTTTTCAATTTTAATGTGATGAACAAGTCACACCCGGCGTTGTTGGACTAATGTGAAACAAAATGAGGGCGTCTTTGTGGAGGCAGGGACGGTCGGTTTGAGTTTGTCCACAAGGAGTGCGTGTTTTTCTAGAAAAACAACTCCAGGCTCATTGAGCCCTAAAGTCTTACTATAAGTGCCCTTTTATTTAGAGATCCAGGATTTACACCTGGGCATCTAGGATTCTTCTCTTTGTCAAGTAAAATAAAATATGCAAAGTTCTATATTGGATGTCTGAAGCCAAAAACCTTTCCGCGCCTTAGATAAACAGGACAGCCTTTCGAAGAGAAGGCAGGTCAGAGAATGTCTCATGCCCTACTTGTATGCAACGGCGTAACTCAGTCTATCAGCTCTTTATGTCCAGGATAGGATTTCAAGTTGGCTCCTGATTTAAACCTGTCTCTCTAATAAAATTACAGGTTTGAAGGAATGTAGACAAAGTTGATCGGACTGAGACAAAACAAGGAATCACTGCCTATTATAAGAATCATTGACCAAGCGGTTACTTGTGTTTTTAACGTCTATTTTTGACTCAAAGTTGGCCTTATATTCTCCACAATGGCTTAGAATTACATAAACAGTAGTTAAAAACAAGTAGCTCTTTATATGGTCAATAACATTTATTTCAAGGGAGACCTAAATAATCCGGCAATTGTAGATGACATTATGGTAGAGACCGCGGAGAGTTAACTCGTCCAACCTCAACTTCGGACGTCTAAAAATAGCCAGTTTTGATAATATTCAGTGTATTCTTTTAATAGAGGTTTTTAGGGGTACAAATTGTGCGTGTCAAATTATCTTTTCGTGTCTCTTCCCAATAACAAAAATTACAAAAGGTGTGATAGATAAGATAAAATAACAAGAAAATAAAATATGTAGAAGGTGTTGATCATTCTTATTATTTTTCCTACTAAAAGGGAACTTCAAACATGAAGGTGTCGATCATAGAGACTCTCGTCAATTTTAAAGTACGAAAATCATGCTTATGCTTTTGTTGTAATTTCGTTGTTTATTATTTAGTTGTAATTACAAAGTTTCGCTGACTAATTATCAAGATTTCTATAATTGCCCGGACCACTTTTAACACAAAGCGGCATGGCGTGGTCATTTTGGGAAAATTTCAATCACTGTAATTCAGGTCTTTTTATTATAACGCGTAAAAAAAAAAGAAAGAACAAAACTTAAAGCCCCGAGAATGAACACGTTATTAAATGACAATAAAGACCAATTTTGCCTGCATGAATTTCAATGGAACAGGTACCATAACGAATAATAATTGTAAATGAAACAAAGGGTTCAATAATAAAAATGGCCGCCGAAAGTGAGGATATCCTGGTAAAATGCATAACCATACCACGTTTGGTTTTTTACGGAGGCTGCATCAAACCAGAAAGCTGAAATACGTTAATCTAATTAACAGGTCATGTACTTTTTTTTTATTGAGCACTCGACCATTTGGTCGTTTGTGCGTTAATCTGGTAACCCGTGCATGTCTGGTAAATAAAAGAATCATTAACTTCGTTATCAGTTTATATCAGTGGGTATTCTAACAGGTAAAGTAAACTACTGCTATAGACGACACCTTAAAGATTACGGTGGATGGGTGAAAGTAATATTATCACTCTGTTAAACCATTAATATTTAATATTCTGACTCATCAAACGGGTTGATTTTTTAAAACTCTATTACGTAAAATCACTTTAATCGACTAATTTTTGCTGCTAAAAAACTTCTATTAAGTTTGACCTCTGTACTAGTAGGACGCTGATATTAATATTTTAGTTACTAACAGGTGCCATATTAAATAACGTGTTCAACTGTTTTATTAAGACATGTTGTATTCAACCCTTACACTAATAGTGTTTCTAAGGCAAGTATTTGACACAAGTCCAGTGTTTTTGAGTTCAGAAATGAGCCCGGTGTTTAAGCCTTATTTGTCAGGTTTTTACCCTTGCTTTGGCTTGTGAATATAAAATCCATACGATGTATAACAAGATTTTAAAATTCTCGTCTTAAAAGCTGACCCTTGCAAATTTTAACACAAATGAAATCACAAGAGTAAACCTTTTGTTAGTGATTTTCAGTTTTGTGCAAAGAGGGCTATAGGTTTCTCGTCGTTGATTAAAACTATTTAAACTATTTCACATTATTTTTTAGTTTCCTTTTGGCTAAAAGCGAGTAAGTTTCATCTTCTATTGAATTTTGGAACTTTTTCTAGTGTTCAGGCCCTGGCGGCTTTCGAGGCAGGGTACTGGGGACCGTTTCTCAAAAGTCCCGATAGCAAGCTGTGTAATTTTATGTCGGCTGTGTTTGCATTCAAGATCAAAGTTTTAATAATTCTGAAAATTATACAATGAAACTATCAGTTAACGAAGCAAAATTGACTGGTCTGTGAGCTAGGAACTGTGCTACTATTCAACTGGTTTTGATTTTAAGATTTGCCTTCGGGCCCGAAAAGTTTCCGGGCCTTTCGAGAAACAGGCCCCTTGAGTCCAACGCTCCCCGGCCACTAATGCACTCGCACCAGTATAAACGGTACAAGGGCGTCTTTCAAATTGCATCCAAAGACTCCTTTTGGATTAAATCGTTTCGCCTCTCCAGCATTACACATAGGCTCGATTTCCGGCACTCTCTCGGTCGGGGGAGGAGCGCGGGCTCATTTCCCAAACAGCGGTTGGTAATAGAGAGTCGCTTAGATTTATTAAATTTCAAATTTACTGTAAGGCCTAAAGTCAATTCATCTTCTCGATTTAGTCGTCTAGAGCTCACAATCGCCTTGATAAAGAGTCTACTCTGTCATGTCACGTCGAAGAGCGCATACGAATTCGAAAATAAAACCGCGCCCGGCCCTCCTCTGATGGTCTGCTCTTTAGGGTTTATTTATAGCTATTTAAGACAAAGAAAATCAACAGGATTCCTCTTTGTTGTGCTTGAAAATTGTATTTGATAAACAACCAGATGACAGTGCTGTCTGTGACTTCAAAAACTCACTGAATCTGTCTTAACTATTGCTTACTAACCTCTCAACTGGAGGTTCAGTACGAAAAGAGAAGTCAATAAATAGTAGAAAAAAACAATAGAAAAAGAAATCAAATAACTTACTTACTACCTGAGTCATTCCTACGTACGTCCTAGTGATAAATTTTTGTAACTACTATTTGCATTTAATATTTCTATTTATTTTACCTGGGTGCTAAAACACTCCACGCGGCCCGTTGGCATCTGTCAACTATTTTTTGTCTTCGAGCACGCGCAAAGACTGAGGTCTCGACATTTTAAAGAGGCTAGATAACGCTTACGTGAAAAGGTCTTGATTCCTTAATAAGACGAAATAATTACAAAAATTAAGGACATTTTCACTACAACTAAGAATGTGAATAGTACGCCAAAAAAGCTCCCTTTAAAGTTGTGCAGACAAAATTACATTAAATAACTTAGGCCCTAGGCTACGTGCTAAGACTATCAACAAAACATCTGGGTCTCAAGGATAGTTAAGTGCAGCAAAGAACGACGGGCAGTGTTAACCCGCGTGAACGCAATCGATCACTTAAAAATCCCAAAGAGGAAGGATGGTAATGATATAGTCTCCTAAGTAAATTGTGCTACAAATAAAAGGCAATTCAAATTGAAATATACACTGCAACTCTGCTGCTTGATTTTGCAATTGATTACAAAACATGGGAATATTACACATCCCCTTTTATTACCCTATCTAATGTAGAAAATTCTAATTTCATGAAATTTTTGCGGGAATTAATTCTTGGATTCAAGATGAACAAACCCACATCGATTGCTTGGATTTCTGATTTTAGTTAGTTAAAACACACAGGTTTTAAGTATAACGATTGATTTAGTGAATTCTCTCCAAACTAATAACCGCCCTAAGGCTCTAAGGCAGAAGAGTCACTGACCCTTATTTTGATAACCAATTAAATAAGGCGTAGAAGCATAACGTCGCGGCGGTCATGTTGCCTAGTCCTCCCCTTTCCTCTTTTTTTTTTACGGGGGGGGGGGGGAGTAGGGGTCCATTGCTTGGATGCAGCAAAGGAGCAACATTGCCTTCGTGACGACATGCATATACGTCATGACAATTTTTAAACAATTCTCTATGGCAACCTTTAAAAGATGTCTGAAAATTTATGCAGTATTGAAAAACACGACGGATAAATACATAGTTATAAATTAATGTGATTCTAGTTGGGTTCCTGTGAATGAAAACTTGTAATATAACCATCCAAAAGGAAACCCTTCAAGTCCACTGAGTCTCGTGAATTCTGATTTAGCTCAGTGACCGCTGACCGGCTAAAGCTTTATCACCGTAACAGTAGTCACACTGCTGTTTAACAATCAGCTACATTAAAAAAGCGCCAGTTCCTAGTGTTGCAAAAAAAAAAAAATTCTAGCTGTTTGTTAGACTTTTCCCATTCAGAACAGATCCAATGCTTTCTTGGTCTGGTTTTTCTTCCACTGAGGAACACCTTCCCACTCTTTCTTGGTCATTTTAAAAAGCTCAACAAATGAATCATCTGCAAGATGCATCTGAGGAAATAACAAAGCCAGAAACACAGTATTAACAAGCGAAAAACAAAACGCACAAGCACGCTTTGAAACTTTTTCTGGCCCTGCCCACATTTGAAAGCAAAACTCCGACTTCCACAAACCACCTTTCATTCCCCAGACTTGGGTGTCTAATGACACGACGAGAACAAAAACATTATAATTGTCTCACACTCTCAGTCTCTGAAAAGGAAATGCTGACCTAAACAAGCCTGAAAAATGCGGAGGCTAATCTATAAGCACAATGCATTGCGGGCACGCAATGGAGTGTCTTCACATGACGTCACGGCGGCCATATTGGTGTCCCAAAACAATGAAACGGCGGCCATGTTAGTGTCCCAAACAAATCCTGTGGCAGTTTAACTCTTTTCTTATGCAAACGCCTCCTTTTGTTCCAATAAATTTGCATAGATGCTGACCACTCTATAGTCACGACGAAAGGGATAGGGTTCTCATGATTTCATCATTGAACAGTTGGACAAAGTTTGGCTAAGACGACGTTTAACTGAAGAAATTCGACGCGATTTCACTATGCAATTGGGCACTTAGGATTGCTCAACTCTCATAGTTTTCGGCAAATATACAAGAAGAGTTGTATAAAAACTTGTGAAAACCTTGAAAATGGTTCACTTGTTCAGAGGCTAAGCTAGGTAATCAATGAAAAGTGACTAAGTAATCACCTACAATGAAAAAAAGAAATAAATACTGATAATAAAGAATAGTAGTAGACTCGTAACTGAAAAGATGTAGTTAGATGTGATTTAAGATCTGATTTCAATTTCCTTCAACAGACAGTAGTATGTAAATTCAGTGGCAAGTCGTTATATTCCTTCATTAATCAAGGAATACTTCACCTCTTTCTTTGTAGGATCCACATCTTCCGGTAATTCCTCTCCTTTCTTCCGCAACACGTCTATGGCATATTCTTTTGGTTTGAGGGCCTCGTTCCACTCAGTCTGAAAGAAAAGTTAGTCCCTTAATCCCGCTACAGATTCATGTCTTTCTCCTTTAATAAACACCTTTATAAGACTGAGACAACTCAAGTATCAAGCCTTCCTTAGTGGGGAGGAGAGAGAAATAGCCTTTGGCTCTTTTCTCCCCTCCCCCTACAGATTCATGTCTTTCTCGTCTAATTAACACCTTTATAAGACGGAGACAACTCAAGTATCAAGCCTTCCTTAGGGGGAAGGAGAGACAAGAAGCATTTGGCTCTTTTCTCCCCTCCCCCAAGAAGAGCCTGATGCTCAATCTATTTATCGTCACCATACCATGGTCCATGCATCTTCATCCACATTTTCGTTGCCCTGTTTGATGGCTTTTAATTGGTCTTCATAAGTCATCTTTTTTTTCCACATCTGTGGTTCCCAGGCGACAAAGTACGATTTGAATGCCAATGGTTCCGCGCCTTGTTTTATCACTAACATAATCAGTTTATTTGGTGATCGCTGTCGTGGGTCAGTCTTCACATATTCCTGTAAACACAATGTTGTTGCTTATTAGGCCCTGATACTAAAAGGTACTTTGCATAACAGAAGGTTTCCAAGGTAGTCACGTTATGGCGAGATTATGAGTCACTGGCTTTTAAATCTGTGGACAAAATCTTATGTGTTGCCAATTAGCCTCCTCCAGGCATTTTGAAAATGGACACGGAAGGGAGGGGTGGGGTAGGGAGAGACGGTGAAGGTTCCCTCCTCTCTCCCTCCCTTCCTTCCTCTTTTTTTTTCCACTTTCAATCAAATCAGTTCACTGTAGTGGACTATGTATCCAATTACCCTCACTTACACAGTCTGACTAGTTTCATCCGAAACTAACCCCTTTATAAGAAGGTATACTCTATGGAGGGTTAAAATTTTAAACCCAGCGTAACATTTCCTGAGGCGTTGTTGTTACGTTACCGGAAAATTAAATAGATTCTTTTTTACGTCCTTCAGTTTCCCTACATTTGTTAGAGTAAGAAACCTTTAAGTTACCACAGCTGTCCTGATCGCCTCTCGTTTTTCCTCTTTGCGCGCTTTTGATCCAACCCAGATAAACAGCTGAGTCCATGCATCAAGAATCATTACATCATCTTCTTCTAGATCTTCTTGTGAAAAGTTAAGAACCTCCTCGACAACAAACCTTCCTGAGGCGTCAGAGCAGTGGAACAGTCTGGCTGCATAGACAGTCGATTCTACTTCCCCCTAAGGAGCAGAAAAATTCAATCTTGCTCTCATACCTCCCGAACGGAAACTTCAAACCCCCCACTGAGAAGAAGGAATGAAATGCGCTAGAAATGAGAATGGGATTTACGTCTCTGACTTGTTCCCATGAAGAGCTGTTAACGACATATGCCGCCGCGATCTTACAAGTTGAAATGAACCATGTGTAAAACAGCTCTTTGTTAACTGTAAGTAGTGATACTCGCCCAGAAAGTATCGATAGCAAAGCAAGCCTCGCATTCTTAGTAAGTGGTAAATAGAAATGCAAACACGTGAAGGGCATCTAAGAACTTAGTGGATAACTTGACAAGTTGAAGAGTAACTGGTCATTGGACAGACATGCAGACCAAGAAGAGAAAATCACTTTCGGGGAAACTTGGCAGCCGAGCCCTTCCGCTGCCAAAATTTTTCCTGAATTCACACAGGTGAGCCTGCTCGCAGACTAACTAAAGTATGAGAATGATGAACCACGCCAAACACTCCAACCAACTGCTGGCTTGGCTAAAGTATAGAAATCAAACAAATATCTTCAGCGAATGAAATGACTTCAGTGTTGAGGAGGTACGTCCGTACGTAGAAAGCGTCGTGCTGCTAAATAAGCATTAAATGTACGTGCAAATGGGTTGTTTGTTAATCAAACTTTTTGAGGCACGTGTGGACGTGAATTTCTGCTTTTGCCGAGATTGTAACTCACCCATGACTGTTTAGCTGATCCATAATCAGCTTTACCACCAAGCATCTGCCAAAATGTCTCCCATTTGTCTTTAGGCTTCTCGTCTTTGCCCTCTAAGAGAAGGTCATACTCTGATATGGAGATCCTTTTTAAGACTTCTTTTGCACAATGCTGCTCATCACCAATGCTGCCTTTACCGACCCAGATGAAACAAGCATGTGGATTATGCAGCACGAACACATCACTGCTGTTTAGTGACTGAGCAACTGGAAGAACCTTCAAGTTATAAAATAGCCGTGGTTACAGTTTTGTCTCCTTTTTCACTTAACAAAGAACTGACCATTCTATTTTGGCGAGAATTGATAAGAGCCCACCATCTGTTGAAGTGTATAATTATCAAACGCGAGAAAAACAGGAAACAGTTTCAAAGCTAGACCAACTGGACCATTATTTTGGAATATTATTGAGGTGAAGACATGTTCTTAAGAAGACGCTTTAACGGATCCTTATTTCGATATGAAGGAATCCGATCGTTTCGATTCAAGTCGTTTTGATAAGAACTCTAGAAGTGAAATTGCACAAAAACGTCGTTCACATCAAGTATAGTTTGCACGTGAACAAGAAAAACATTTTGGGTAAATATCCTTCGTTCTTTAAGCCAAATACGTAAAACTATTTACACCTAAACTGAATAACCTCGTATCAAAACGACCAGTAACCTGCATAACTCATGAGGACTTTTGTCTTGTACCTCAACAATCCTGGCATCGTTTCCAACAACTCGTACTTGCAGAAGTCGGGTATCTCCAGAAGACCCAGATTGCTGGACATTCCGGAAGCCACTTGCATGACCCCCCTAAAAATAAAAAATAACGTTTAATTTTGGTTATCTTGGAAGGGAAAGAGACAATTCTTGTTTGCTTTCTATCACTTTTTTTCAAGATTTACCTGGTAGATAAGGAGTTGACGATTGAAAATCGAAAAGAAATGATCAGGCTCCTTTCCTTCGCAAACTCGGATCTGAATTGGTTCACCATTAAACTTGTCATCAAGTTGAACTGCAGCTGCTGCAGCTGCTCCTTGCTCATCACTTGTGCTGTCATTTCCCTGGCAACCAACAACCAGTCAAATTCAATCAGATTGATTACTATTATGGAGGCAGTGTGGCTGGGTGGTCTGTGCATTGGACACACAGGACATGACTCATTTGCTAATCCAGACAGACGAATCAAACACACAACTAGCAGAAGTATAGGGGTATCAAGCAGAATTCAAGGTATTCATTCGGATAGTTGTTGAGGCAGCCTAATTGCGTTAACTTCCACAATAGCCTAACTGATAATCAGTGATAGAACAGAGCAACACTCAAGCAAAAGCAAGAAGCACTGACTCACCAACCAAAAGTAGACGATGTGGTATTCCTTAGTATTCTTGAGATAGGTATACAGAACAACATAACAGTCACCAGAGTAGAACACTCCATGTGATTCTTCTGGTACAGTTACTAATTCAAAGCTTTTGACTCTCCACACTTGCTTACTACCAGATCCATCATCAGGATTGCTGCTACTAGAAGACACTGATGTTTTCCTGTTATTATGCATAGACTTGACTTCAAATTTTCCAAATTTCTTTTCAATTTGTTCTAGATAAATGAAGACAAACTATGTCAGTACACTATCACATCTACCGGTAGGTGGGTGGCGAGTTTCACGAGCACATCAAGACACTCATGGCTGTAGACTGACCCTATATCACCCCTCCCCTAGTGTCACAAAAGGGTGTGAATATCCCTGCAGTTGGTACTCAAGTAGGTTGTGGTGAGTATTTGCAACAAATTAGCCCTCCAAATGTGGGCTGGACAGCAAAACTAGACTCTCCTCTAAAAATGGCTAAATTTTAATACCCCAATTTTAGCTATTCATTTATTTCACTGCTGAAACTGCACAGATGCAACTATTGAGTTTACAGAGGTGTAAATGAGGTTTGTCAAAAATTCTTGCAAGTATGCTAGTTTCTTTCTTTTTTACGCACTGTAGGTGAATGTTAACAATGGCAGAAAGTTCCAGTCATGCTATGATCTTAGCAGTAATGGGAACTAAGAAAAAATGTTTCTAAACTGAACTGAGGCCAAAAAATGGAAATTCAAATGGGGTAAAGCTGATTTAGAGGCTGAAATGATCTAAGAAGTGGCTCGCCAGCCACGCTATACACAAAAGGCACCTTTTGTAGCTATGCCACGACCAGCCTGGTAGGTTTGTCCATCAATCTCTCCTTCCCACTCAGTAAAGTACTGTTTAAACTCTGTTGGCTCAAGTTCATCCTTGATAATTTTATAAGATGTGTTTGGATTCAACTGTCTTGCAGACAAAAATCCCTTCAAAAATAAAAAGTAATATTAGGGTTTGAGATACTTTGGTATACAGCTGTACTTGCTGTAACCAATTTAATTGTAAAACTTTTCTTTCAAGCTGATTATAAGCTCAGCAAGTACAATAACTTCGTATAGGCATGAAACAATAATTATTTAGTCTTAAATATACGATGCAGTTATCACTAAGATTTTGACAGTCCTTGGTAATGGGTCAAAGGATTGTGTCTTACACTGTGAGCACTGGGACTTACAAAAGAGGTCACAACAAATTTCAGACAATTGAGCCTACAATATAGCCTTCTTGATAGAAAGTGAGTGAGATATTCCACTTGGATAAGGAGAATAGTAGTGAGATTGAAATTTTAGATTGTGTAAGTACTAACTTGAGCATCCTTAATTGCTTTGCTCTTTTCTTTTCTTGAAGCTTTATGTCCTATCCATACATACAGACTCACTCCAGTCTCCAGTATGAACACATCCTGCAACAGACACAGATTGTATTGTGAACTCTTATTAATAGAGTTATCATTTATTGTACATTAAGTTAGATTTTTTTGGGCCTATACCTAACCCACTGAAGCTGTGAAAATAAATTATACCTGACTGAAAAATTGTTGTCGCTTAAAAAGTAGAAACCATGAGGCTTCAAGGATTTGTGGGTATACATTCATTAGCAAAGCAAATTCAAAGTTCTTTCAACAAAGGTTTACATTCAATTTAAATTTAATGTAAATATTAAATTCTATTTATTGCTTTGTTTACAGCATGCCATTGTCTTTTAATGTCTTCCAAGAAGCTTTTAGGTCCTACTCCCTACCTTATGATTTGCAAGTGTCAGTTTACAATATGGCTATGCTCTTTAGCTGTAGAGATCTCTGGTGCGCCATGTACAGGTGAAGTTGTGAGCTTATTTGCTAAGAAAACTGGAAACTGTTTTAACCTGTTTTGGAATGCATCAGTGCAAAAAGCTTTGACAATGTAAACCTTTCTGGAAGAACTTTAAAATCACATTGCTTATAATGACGTTTCTACCCATAAATCCGTAAGGTCCAATTGTTCACAGTTCATACTTTTTAAATGATGTTTTTTAAATCAGGTGTATACAATAAAGACAGTGTGCTGTCACAAAAAGTTACAAAGTGTGAGGAGGGCTTCTGATAGAAATAGGAAAAAATGAATCCATTCTTTATTTGCAGTAGCAAATACACCTATACTGTAAATATATGAACCACTTTTCTGACCCCCACCCTCACCCCCAGACACATACACACCTTATGGAATGAGGGTAGTGGCTAGTCTCTTGCTTTTATAAACTGCTATTGCCATTCACCTGATACACCTAATACTGAGTGATACTGCATTCTGGTTTAAAAACACACACTATAAAATCGTGTAAAACTTACATCAGAATCTAGATCTTTCCGTGAAAGTGGTTTACCCCCTGTCTCTTTCATTGTTATGTTTCCTGTTTCATCTTCTTTAACCCTTTAAACACATGACACAAATTATTAATCCCGCATAAATATGCTTACATTGACTCCTGCAACATAACATTATATTTATATACAAGGAACCGCCAAATCAAAATAAAATTCAGAATAATATGGTTTCAACCTAGCATTTGTGGTCTCTCTGTGACTATTCATAACATGAATAATAGATAGGGGCCAAGAAATAAGGGAAATTTAGAATCATCCTTATCTGAAAGTTTTGTCACTACACTTTAGTGATTCAGACTTGGTTATTGGAAAAATGTATTACACCTGTGTGAGCAGGGCATCTTCAATTTACATTTGCACATCATGGTTTGAGGGTAAATTGTTAGGTTTTTTTGTTGGCGGTTGTCTTGCTTTGCCCTTAGGTGGGGCTGCCCTGTCTCTCGTTCCTTGCTCACCTTTACGTACAACATTTTCCCAATCCCTCTCGGCCCCTTCTCCAACCTCCCTAAAAATGTAATGAGGAAATGCTGCTAAAGAACATTCAATTGAATGGTCACACTGTAATAATATTGATCAGTGCCATCCAATTTTTTAGGGTCTAACCACTTCGCCATCATGCAATCAAAATGGAGATAACACTGGGGAGAAAAGAATGTGAACCAATAATATTACGTACATCATACCTATATAAAGTAAGATTGACTGTTTCATCAATTTGCTGATCACTTTCACCCTCCTTGGTAATCTGCACAACACGCTTGTTTCCTGTCAGTGCATAAAAAAACTCCTCTTCATCCTCTGGACTTTCTGTGTAAGCAAAGATTGAATCCATTAAAAATGCATAAATCAGACAAATAATTTATACTGACAGTATCTGAGTTAATCATTGCCAATGGCGAGACCTCAATGCTTTTGCATCAGTTCAAGTGCAGTCAAACCCAGCTCTCAATACAGACACAAAGAGGGCCATTAAAAGTGTCTGTATTAACGGGGTGTCCGTATTAAGTAATTTAAAGAAAATTTAAGGGCTTTCTTTCCCCAGGAACAAAGCAAACTGTTCTTAATAACGAGGTGTCTGTATTTAAGGTTTGACCGTACATTGTAGTACCTTAACACGTACAGACAGCAAATTACTATATCTGTCATTTGCGTTAAAACTTTAAATTTGCAGAACTCAATCTTCACAATAACAATTAATCTTACCAACAATTTGAACGCTAGCTAATCCTGCTCTTTCCTCATCTCTCAACTCCCTTGCATAAGACAAAGCCTAAACCAAAAATAACAGAACAGAAATATTATATAGATTTTGATGCAGTAATTGTTGGATAAGGGCAGCACTATTACATCTCTATACACAATGACATTATTCATCTGAATTTATTGCAACACAACTGTTGCTTAGAAAATGTTACTCATATGGCATTAGTGACTTACATTTATCCTTTCCTTAAGATTACTCTCCTTTCCAATCCACACAAAAATTTTTCGCCCACTGTCCAGAACAAAACAATCACCTTGATTAAGGGAAGACACATCCAGTGAGACCTAAGAAAGAGAAGATGACATACATCAAACAAAGGTCAAGTCATAGCTTGAATGTTGCTAAATGCAGGGTTCGCACACTCTTTTGAACAAAAAATTCAAGGACTTTCAAGGACACATTTTCCCTTTTTCAAGGACTCCATTCCGTGCGAAAAAAGAGCCTAATGAGTCTATGTCTTTTTTAGTTCTTCCTCAACATGAGCAATTTTATCCTGAAGTTGTTTCTTTGTTTGTGTTTGCTGAATTGGATAAAGTTAGCACTGAAATTTAAGGACTTTCCAGCACCTACTTCAATTTTCAATGACTTTCAAGGACTTTCAAGGTGCATGCGAACCCTGTACATGCATGAAGTCTGCATGATTTTAATTCAAAAGCTGACAAGACTCACCTGTGAAGCATAAACTTTTCGTTTTCCTTTTACTTGCAGTAAAGCTTTTTTGAACTTTTTCTTTCCCTCTTTAAACCCACTTGCATGACCACCATCAAGCAAACTAAAGTTAAGAAATGTACAATGATAAAAACAATAATGCAGCAAAGCTTTTAGGAATATTTGATCACAGAATTAATATACCTGCCAACTTTTTCTTAGTCAAAATGTGTGAGATTTTGGTCTTGTCATAACCGGGATTTCCATAACGTCCCAGCGACTTCCAAAGATTTCTGATGATTTTCTGAGGACTTCCGAAACGATGCTGACAACATAGATATCCCAATATTTTTTGAGCACTTCCGAAGCTATTTAATGTTGTGATACAGTTTAGACATCAAGTCAACATGAAGTGCCTTTTTGGAATATTTCTGGGAAACTGAATTAAATTTTCGTTCATGTGTTGAAGAACAAATTGTCCGGATTTGTAAGTCGGGCATGAGAATTGTCTTCGATGCATAAGATCGATGTGTTTGGTCCACAGGCATGAGACACACATAATGCATGAGAGTTGGCAGAATAAGAATTTCTCTCTCTTTGTTTGCGTATACTCTCAAACCCATAGCACTGATAACCGCAGCAAAATGCATCAGTAACACCTGCACTGGCTGCAGTAATATAAGTTAGTTATACCTCATCTTTGGAAAGAGGGCTTTAAATGCTTCATCCTCATATCTTCCAACCTGGGAAAAATATAATTAAGCACATAAACTTTAGCATGCCTAGAAACACACATGAAGGCACAAAAATTACAATTTTCATAATTTTTATTTGCTTTTCATGTACATGCTGTGGTTCAATTTTATCTTTTGTTTCAAATCTCATTTTTCCTTCGTTTTTGGTATGGTAATGTAAGATAATGAGTTTCAAACTAAATCAAATAAAATTTAAACCAAGGATAAAAAGTAACTACCGTGCAAAACATTCAGTGGGGTCAGACTGAAAGAGGATTACTTTGTTTGGAACCCAAAGCATTTCTTACATCCACAAGTAACAAATAATATAATAATTCATTAATAATTATTGCTATAATTTTTCTTTTTATAATCAGCTTTATTACATATTAGGTGGAGCATCTACAAAAAGAACATTCATTTCAAAACGTTACAGTTGATGATATTTTTCTCTTTGGCATGGACACAGGACAACCAACCTCTCGATGCTGTACAGGGAAACCACCCAGTTCATCATCAAGTGTGACAGCAAGCTGAGCAGCAGTCCCTGCTTCATCCTGTACAATGATAACATTAATAAGCTATGATAACAATATTAATGTAAACTTTATAATAATAATTTTAATCTTATAATAATAGGGTTTTTTATATTGGCTATTTTTTACTACACTGGCATTGATTTTTTCCCTTACCATCATTAAATTGTTCAGTTATAACAAATTTCATTAGTCTTTCATTACTTTCATATGTTTGCACACATACATAGTATACTTTGCTTGGAGCAGTTGGGTTACAATATTAAGATAATACATTTTTAGACAATTTGCATTGAGTACATTGAACACAGACTTGTTCCGTATGATAGATGCAAAACTATTGAAATAATTTAATACAAATACTACATAATACAATACCTGAGAGGTTTCTGGACCCAGCCAAAAAAATATGTTTGCTTTACTGCCAACAGCTATTGTCTGTTTTTGAAGAAAAAAAACAATAATTACTGCTTTACAGCTGGAAATTTTTTCCTGACAGCACACACTCTCATTGGTTACTTTGAAGTCACATGAGATCTAACAATAGAACTAGTTCCTGCCAAAATCTCTGAGAGGGTAACAATGCAAAATCTGTGACATTAGAGGGTAACAGGGCACTGTTACCTGTAAATGCTGACCAGTATGCAGCTTTACTGTGACACAAATTAAAATACTCATCTTTATACATCACCTGCAATACGATATATGAATCTCCTTTGTGAAACTTCCCATGTTGCTTTGGATCAACTTTTACAGGCTTGAAAAACTGCAGGAGGATGTTAAATAAGCAGATGGTAATCATTACTTCAACCTCACATTACACCCCTAGCTGGGTGCACAAGTACAGTTAAACGCCATTAATATGGACACTAGTACCGAGGGAGGCATAAAAGGTGTCTGTATTAATAGGGCATCTGTATTAAGTGGGTTGAACTGAGAGAAAATGTAAGGGCTTTCTTTCCCTAGAGACAAAGCAAACTGTCCATTACAATGAGGTGTCCATATTGTATAAGTGGGTGTCTGTAAATTGGGGTGGGACTATACACAATTGTGTTAACTCACCTTTAAATCCCACCCTTCAAATAAGGCAAATCCCACATCCGGAGATTTAAGCTATTATTATTATTATTATTATTATTATTATTATTACTATTATTATTATTATCCCTGGTCAAGTTTCCCCTTGGTTTAAAAAATATTCAAACAACTTTAAAATTTATTTCCATTTGTCTCAATTTTAGTCATAAACAAAGATCCACAAAAAAAAATTACTGGTTTGAAAATTGTTCAAAAAGTTGAACTCATGAAAGATTGCTGGAGATAACTGGAGTACAGCATAATAAACTTAGTCACCTGAATGAAAAAACAATTTAAAGCTATACTTAATTTACCTCTATTCTCCAAACTTCTACTCCAGGTTTTGTTCCTGCACCAGGAAATGCCTTTTCCACTCCATTTGCAACTGGCATTATTCAGTTTGTGAAAGACACTGCAGGTGAAAATTTAAAAACAATAAACTAAACACTGGACAGTTTAATATAATAACAAGCTAGAGAGGTGGGATTAGAGTTCACGCAACAATTTTCCTCGGTCTGTACTATTATCAACCATGTCCATAGAAATGATGTCAAAATGTTGTTTTTCATAATAACACTGAAAGTTTTGATGACCATTTCCTTTGAAGTTTCCAGGAGAACTGTGCACGCAAGAAAGAGAAAAACAAATTTCACCATCATCGCTTCATTTCCATGGCCTAGTGTACTCTTATTGAACATAACTCTCAGCCAATCAGCATGCAAGAAATTGCTTACTGATAGTAAAACATCCTAGGGATAGTTATTGCAAGCCATCCTTCAACAACAAAAACAAATCAAACATGCATATATCTAGCCGAGAAAAAAGACTTTTGCTATACTTCACTTGTCTCTACTAACCTTCCCCTTCTCCCCAAACAAATTATGTTGTGAACAACAAAAGCTTTATATCATCCCTGGGTAAAGAGTACAAAGTGTGCAACACTCAACATTGCTTCGGCTGAGAGAGAAGATAGATTTAGTGGTGGGTTTAGTGTCTTAAGACTTTCCTACTAAAAGTGGAAGAAAAAGTCCTGGGTTGAAAGGTCGTTAAATGAGTTAAAACCAGAAAAAAGGAGATGACAAAACGTGAGCTATGTTTTAAACATTGTGCAGAGGACAGTCAGTTCTTTCTTCATGGACACCTGTTGAGAGAGACACCTTTGAATGGTCCCCTCCATGTCGTTTTCCAGTCATTTAACCTCTCTTTATTATTCATTCAAAATATTTCACACATTCTGATTGGCTAAAAAAACATGCATAATTCACCATAACCAGCTACAGATGACCAAATTTGGAAGAATTTTGCCATTAATGAACTGATGAAATCAAAAGTGCAGCGTCCTTGCAGGTTAATGTACCGTTAACCGAGAAGACCAGGGGACCCGGTTAAGTTGTTTCGGTTGTGAAAACAAAAATGGTGTACATTTCACTCATTTCAAGAGTAAGAACTATGCAAAATAATAGCTAAAAACATGGCAAGAACAGCAAGACAACTTGAAGGGTGACATCTGCTATTCAGAGAATATATTTGCGGAGCTGAACAACCCTAAATGTGCACTATCAAAGATCAATTTAACATTGATGGAGGTAAGCATGTTTAATCTATGTTTTTAAACTAGCAATTATTTTGAATGAATAATAGAACAATTATTGAATTCGGCTTTTGTATCATATGAAGAATTATGGAGATCTTGGAGGGTGTTATTCGCCTCAGCCTACGGCCTTGACAGATAACACCCTCCTCGATGTCCATAATTCTTCATAAGATACTCAGCCTTATTCATTAATTGTTACATAATAGGAACGTCTCTATAAGAGGAATAGTTAGAGCCAGTCCCATCTGCATCTGCTTTATTGAGAGGAGTGTATAATATAAAGAAATCTGATTTCTGAACAAATATATTTTCTCACCAAATTAAAGCTCATACATACACATGCGAAAATACAAAATAAAAGTACAAACTTGGGACAAAATCGTGCTAAAAATAATGAAATTTTTAATATAACTTATTAACAAGGTGAAAATATTTTATGCTAATTTTTCACACCTAAGCAACTTTTGCATACTGATATCAAATAACAATACGGCTATTGGAGGCGGATGAATAGGAAGAAAAGAAACGATTGACAACGAAAAGAAATAGCGATTCCACTTAATTACCCTTCGAAATACAAGAAATAAGGTACTGCCTATAATAAACTTCAGCTTATATCGAGTATGAAAGTGGAATGTGACGGTTGTGTGACGGCGACATTAAAAAATCCAGCGGTCGATTCAATCTTTTCATTATTTCCAACTTCCACAAGTACAGAGGAACAACAGTTAGGTCGCTAGTACAGAAGAACGACAGTTACGCAGCGACCTTCGATTATAAAATCTGCACTTATTCTTCTAGAAAAGAAAAATCGCCCCGGGGAGACTTATACAGAAAAGCCGCAAATTACGCATAGTACATGTAGTGATAGCAACGAATGATGCTTGAGCTAGACGCCATAATTTACACCGCCTTGTAAACAGAAATAAAAACACGCACTATAAAACGAAAATAACACAAACAGAAAAATTTACGACTCGCAAGCATCTGTTAACATAGCAGTCGACCTCTACTTAAAAAATGAGCTTAGATGTGGTTTTTTAAAGCATTTAATAAATTAACCTTAAGCTTACATTGCGCACGCTGTGGAGTAAGCTCAAATTAAATTTCACGTTTGCTTCCTGATAGAAAACATCAAAGATGGGAATTCTGCAACAGGGACTATCGAAAAATTGAGCATCTTTGCAAAACAAATACGTTGAAAAACGACAGCAAACATCAAACAAGAGTCTAAAGGGCCTAGGCGTCGTCTATTGACATTCGTTCCAAGCCATTAAGCTGCACAGCTAAAATCCAACAGGATAAATTGCACAAGGAAATCAACAAGGGCATGGATTAGTCTAGTGCTCTGAAAGTTACTTACACTAGGGGTTTTAAATAAGCAAAGTTACCTTTACAGATAAGCTTTCCACGGACATAAACAGATCAGGACGATCGCTAACTGTTATCACCCACAAGTAGCGAATTCGGGATAATATCCGGGACATTCGACCCGTGGGCGTGAGAATTATATTCCGTGAATACATTACAGTACAAACCCCTGGAAGCCTGCGAAAAGGCATAAAAATTCACATTTGGTTTTTACCCAAAATGGTTAAAACAGGAAAAAAAATAAAGTAGTTAACTCAACAACGCAATTATGTAATACTGGACTTTCTTCATACTAATAGAAACACTTAAAAATATATCATTAATCCCAATACATGCTCTAGTGGCTTTTCCGGCATATTAGTTCTGAGTTACTAGTTGCTTCCACTTCTAGACCGAACGACAATATAATAATATATTTAGAAAAAACTAATCAGCCGCGACAGGTGACGAAAGTTTTTCAAAAGAAATTATTTTTGTTGTGAGCTGTCTTAAGATGAACAGCATGGAGTCTCTCTTTGAAAGAAAATAGGTAAGTTTAAAAACGAAAATGAAGACTCCCATAACTTTTAATCTGCCCCTTTGGAATAACCGCTTAAATTACCACTAACGTCTATGAAAAGACTCAAACGATAAAGTTCCACTCAGTTACCTCAAGAGAGAAATGGTGTCTTAAGGGGTGATATTGTTCAGTTCTGCATTGTTCATCAAGCTATGCCGGAGAGGACCTTTGTTTTTCGTAGACATAATCATATCAGTTTGTAGGAAATCGAAATGCGTCAACCCTGATTACCACCCTACTGTATTAACGGCTCAAGGTACGATCAGAAGCTGTCTGTGTTGGACGCATTCAGCCAGTCCAAGAGGAACACTCTTCAAAATGTAAAACAACCCCATCTGAATCGTTTCGACCACAGGTACTTGCAATTCTAGGACTGGATTTTAGAATTACCTTTGGACTGTAAACACAAAAGTTCATTAGTTTAACCGACGAAGAATAAAATAGATCATGATTTAATCTCGACTTGGAAGATTTTTCTGCCTTGCCTTGTTTCACCCTGTTTTCTTTCTTTCTTTCTTTTTCTTTTTCTTTTTTTTTTGCCTTCCCCCACCCCACACCCCCGACCAACCTCAATTTGCGACCACCCACCCGACCCAACCCATAACACTAAAAATTCCCAGTCATAACCCTATAGTTGAAACCTCTCGAACACGACCGACCACTTTTCGGGGCTGACGGTTTACCAAGTGTCCATTGTTTAATGCTTTTGTAAGCGCCAGTTAACACATGGCCAGCTCCTCCCTATGTTAGCTGTATGTACTAGCATACAAACTGAACGTTTTGTGACAGGAAGGCGGAACTACACATATCGCAACGTAGAAATTGCAAGCAATAAATTACCTTCCATAAAGTAGATGTTTCAGAATCTCAGTCGTCTCGGAATAGACACCCTAAGACTCGATTTCTGTCCTGCAACCGACCACTACGCCTTCGCATTTTGGGAGGACGCTCTATACTGAAAACGGGAGGTTCGACAGTGAAGGCAAAACAGGGGACTAATTCACTTTACTCGTATCATATGGATGGTACATTATTTTATTGTTTCTCCTCGAAATATGTACCTCGCTAATATTCCCGAAGAGACCACAGATAAATGCTTCCATCTAGTGTAGCAATTGCACACTGGTATGCCCTGTTCACAACTCTGCCTTCGGGTGCGAAATCGCCACCAAGACGCAGAAGAGAGGCGTCTCTCGTGTTC